ATCATGTGTGCAGGCTGTGGTGTGGCTCTCTGCAAACTTTCATGTTTCAATGTTTATCACACGAAGAAAAACAAATAAAGAGGTGTGGAAAAGCATTTATTGCATAAAATATTGTATTTTAATTAGTTCCTAAAAATTTCGTTTTTAAAAACCAATTTTTGTTGAAGTTGTTTAGGAAAAAGTAACTACATGCATTTTAGCGACATAAGGTTTAAAGGGCCTGCCAGGACAGGGGTGAGATTTAAATACCCTTCATGCCAGTCAAAGAGTTAAATACCAAAACCTCGTCTTTACACTCATTATCAGCTAACCTACACCTCCAATTAATTATTCTCAGGGACATGACTGGTATTAGAAAATCTGGAAGACAAGTTGCATACTCCACAGAAGTTTGAGAACATATGATCTAAATTTTGTATTTTTTTAATATAATAATTACCTTCATCTTGGTAAGGAACCGATCCATGAAGTTGATAGCAACAAAGAGCACATCTGAAGGCAAGTCATACCACACCTTCAGGCAGCGCAGGACATGGGCAGATCCATCTCTGATACCTGTAGTAATTTCAGTTGGGTCCTGAATACAAAACAAAACCATTACTCTTCCCATTCTTTCCACAATCTTAACAAACCATTTCACATAGTCTATGACAAGAAAATTCAGTTATTTAAAAAGTCAACAGGAAAATAAATTTCTTCGCGGCTATGCCACTGTCCATTCATATCACATTAACATTAACATGAATAATGAAAATAAAGCACACGAAGTTGTCATGGAAAAATATGATACTATTCCAGCATTACATGGAGGAACTGAAGAAAACTATGAAAACTTTGGTCCAAAGAGCCTGTCTCTGGACCAAGATGTGCCTCCTCAATATGACAGAGCGCCATCCACTAAACCCAGACAAGATAATCATTTGTGATGCTCTTCTCCAAGGAAAAAGTTCAACGGCAATATGAACACCACTGCACATTGATAGGACCAGGTGTTGGGGGGGGGNAACTCCTGAACAATGCATCACAAATGATGTCAATAAAGTATAATTGGTAAGAACTGACGAAAAGCAGGAAATACTTCCTCAAAACCTTTCACACATATTTGGCCATGAATTCAAACACTTGTTACAGTGCATAATCCACATTAAAATGAATTATATTTTGATTAAACTAGAACATCATGAAATTACCGTATTTACGCGTGTATAGGCCGCAGCACAATTTTCAGACAGAAATTACAGAAAAAATCATTTTCTTGGAATATTATTTCAGGAGTAGAAATTATTCCAAAATAATTATGAATATAATTTTTTTTAAATGAAGTGTGATTTCGAATATTTCGAATATAAGCCGCACCCCAGTTTTCCTCTTGAATTTTTGGCAAAAAAATGTGCGGCCTATACATGCGTAAATACGGTATATTCACATAAAATATGTGGCAGATGTTTTTTCAGCATCCCATTGCACTGAGGCATTATCCTTATGATGGCACCCATCAATTATACAACAATTAAAAATAATTTTAACATCATCATAAAGTACTAAAGTTACACTTTTGTGAGAAACGTATTTTAGATGTCTTCTATATGTTAACCTTTAAACGCTGGACTTTTGAAATGGTGGTAAGCTTGAGCTGGCTGGAGTTTATTTAAATGCCTGCTGCTGGTGCGCATTTAAATGCCCCTTGCTCTTCTGCGTTTAAATGTCCATTCCTGTTAGGGCGCTTAATCAATTTTAAGCATTGTGTTTAAAAATGCTGTATCTAACACAATTTTTATGATAAATGGATGTAATTAATTTTGTTTGTATCAGCAAAGAACATAGTGTCGTATATTATTACACATACATAAGATTTGAAAATTTCTATATACAAAGTGTTATAATCTATTTTTGATTCTTTTCTTTTAATTTTGATGCATACTGTAAAAATGGTTTCCCAGTTCTTCACCAAGTTGTTCTGCATTATAAAATCAATCCTCCTTGTAACATTTGACATATTTTAGCAGTCCCTGGTGTCATAAAACAGATGGAAGCAATAAAATCATTTGGTCTTCTGCTGGCAAGTTTTACGTCTTTGTTACACCCTTCAGATTTCCCAATCTTTTGACTAAAGGACGGAAGAATTACAGCATGGCTATTCAAGAAAAAGCTAGAGGGGTCCTGTCTTCAGTGCTAAGACCTTCCGTTATAGCTGCAAGAGATTATTGCCCTTTCTATGGTTGTGAACAGACAGTTGCATCGTGGCTGAGATACAGGGTGCGACTGCTTTCCGTGCGTTCGTAGTGAAATCGAATACTGTAGTTTCATTTCAGCCTATATATACATATAAAGCAGATGACAAAAAAAAAAGGTATGTACATCGAATGTTACTATATATTTTTAACACATTAATCTGCAGAATCTGCAATAAAAGTACTGGCTCATGGATGAGTTTGGGCATAACTAATACATACATTCTTCCTTGTTGTTGATCACTTTGGTATCATTTTAATTTCTCTGTTAGGATTTTACTCAAGTCTGTCTGGTAATAACTACATTTAGGACTGTGCTTGCGCTTCTACTAGTAGTGTGTGTGTGTGTGTGTGTGTGCGTGCGCGCGCGCTTCCACTAGCAGAGTTTAAATGCCCGACTGGTCGGATCAGGGTACTTTGGCCACAACAACCATACTCATCACTGGCCCGATTGGGGCACTTTGGACGTTAAAGGTTAAAAATACTGTTGCATTATTGACTGGTTCCATAATAATGATAGTGGCAGATATTGTTTAGAAAGAGCCCTGGTGCACAATTCTGCAACATTATGCCACACTACACAAAAAGTGCCTCAAAACAGATATTCGACCTGGGACACACTAGGGAGCTGCAGATGAGGTTGGAACTTATTCTCCAGAACCAGTGCCTCATTCAGCTTCGTTATTAGGGGGTGGATAGCATCCGGCTGGCCCTGGTCCATTCCTGTGATGTCACTTCACTGGACCCCAGTTACACCTCAAGAATGGCCCAATATGAGGCCTTGTACCTGCAACAGGAGCACAAGACAAACTGCTGATCACATGGCATACCATGATTTCCAAAAATACCAGTCGCTAGCATTCAAATCTCAACATATCAGAAGTTCGTACAGTGTTTACTACATCACAGAGAATTAAATTACTCCTACCCGTAGAAGTTTAATTTCAAGTGGCAAACTTCAGAAGACTGTGTCCATGTCACTTGCAACAATACACATCTCTTTTCCATTTTTGTTTCAGGTTACAAATGATGATCTGACCCCCCCCCCCAAGCAGGAATCGAAAGTGATATTGTCTGCTAACAGAAGACTAAATGGCAGGATGAAACATTCACAATCTCCGCAACGTTTCATAAACCACTTCTGCATACACTTGCTTGATGATCAGCTGTTTGGAGGGTATACAGCAGAACACAATTCTAATACCACACAAAGGGTCCTCTTCATGTGTGCCTCTCTTTATTCAGTTCTTGTTTAACTATATAACAGCTTGCTCAGTTTTACAGAAAACTTTCACGGTGACAGGCATATACTGAACTCCTGTACTACTGAAATAATCCTAATGAGGACTATGAAATATTAAATATGCAGTCCTGCGAGAGTCCGCCAGATATGTATTACTACCCATTCACATGTAAAGTTAACACACTGGATTCAGAATGAAAATGTGTAGAAATGCAGATCATTCAACCACACAACTGCTGGAGCAAACAGACTTCCTGTACACAAATATTTGTTTCATCACACAAGCAAACTTAACAGTCACTACACAATATATAAATTATTGCATATGTCTTCATGCTCGGAACAATACTTTATAGCAGCCAATGACATTTACTAGCACCTGTTTGTATGGATATGACCTCATTTCAACCTAACACTGCCCCTGATAAGAAGTTTATTGGTCATCTGACCATATTTAGCAAAAGGCAATAGACAGCATATAAGATGATGCAAATATTGCATTAAGTAGGCATCAAAATAAATGACAGGTCTGGTAAATGTGTGTTGCAGATCTCTCTGAAACAACAGCCTCTTTTATTGGCATGCACAGCTGGATGAATCTGTCAAATTTTGGATAAACAATTCCATAACAAACTTCTGAGTATACACAATGGAACAAAGAAATTTTGTTTCTCCTTTGGACAATCAGTTAAGGCATAAACACATCTATCTTCATGATACTGTAGAATGTAATTTACAGAATGAAGTAATGCACAAAGAAAAATTAATTCACTGCTATCCACTTGTTTTTGCAATTCATTACACAATCTTGGACGTACTTCTACACGAAACTTTGTGGCTCTCATAAAACCTGTTTCCATTTGCTTCAACAAATTTATAAGTTTTTTCTTTTTTTTACAATTTAACTTGGTTTAATAAATAACTACAATGTAAGCAGCAGAGTTCTTCTTGAGAACTTATAGTTACTAAACTCGGTAGCATAGTTGGCTGAGGAACTATGCAACAAGCCAGAAGGTCGCAGATTCAAGTCCCAATGAGGTGGATCGTTTTCAGTTTACCTAATCCTTCCAGCCACACTATGGCCCTGGGGTCAACTCAGCCTCTAACAGAAATGAGTACCAGGAATCTTCCTTGGGGTTAAAGGGCAGCCAGCGCATAAGGCTGACAACCTTGCTGCCATCTATGAGCTGACTTTCTAGAGAAAATGTGGCAGCCTCAACACCTCGCAACCCTATGGGCTTCACAGCCTGTTACAGGGATAGCTTTACTTTTTCTTTACCTTCTCAATAAATTATCCACTTCAGAAGGGGCCCAAAGGTTCTTTGTCATGGTCACAGGAGTCACCTAACACTTAAACCTATTGAGCTAAATCAATTCAGTCCACACACACTAACATCTTACTTCTATAAGATTTATTTTAATAAATCTTCCATCTATGCCTAAATCTCCCTTCAGGTTTCCCAATTACAATTCTGTATGCACTATCTCCCTTTAATAAAACACATTTTTTTTTTTCCTTGGCACTAAAGCCCCAGTGGGCCTAGGCCTACCTCCATGAACTTCTCCGTTCACTTCAGTTTTTCTAGATATTACACATTCAGTAGGATTCCTTGGGCGGGTGATCAGCTCATCGCAAGGCCTCTACCTGTACACAAACACAGATAAACACACACACACAAACTAAACATTCATGCCCTGAGTGGGATTCGAACCCACGATCTCGGTTTCCAAGCGAGCGAAGACACTACATGCCTTAGACCACTCGGCTACCGTGACTGGCTAATAAAACACATTACATTGCTATATTACATTAGAATTTGATCTAAAATATCTTTATACTGTACTATATACTATCAATAAAGTTCTTGATGAATGGATTTTAAAGATAATTCAAACTACATAAAAACTCAAAATTACTGAGTTTTTGGACTTTATCCAGAGTCCAGAATTCTAAAAACAGAAAACACAACGTTTTGGAAACTGGATCTGTTCCTGAACAAGGTCTGAAAAATAATGTAAAATTGAACTTGAGAACGTAATCTGAATTACCTTACCATTGCCTTCCACCACCTCACCAGCTCACCATTCACCCACAACAATCCTACCATTTGATTCTGTAGTCTAGCTGCTCACACTGTCCTAGGATTACCCCCTCCCCCCTAATGAAACATAAAAAATATGGCAATGATAGCCAGCTGAGTGCCCAAGAATCATTTCAAAGCATCCCATGCTGTCAAGACATGTACAGAGTCCTAACATCTGATATAAAATATTCAAGGTATTATATATTTTTACAGGTTAAAAAGCTAGCAGTTCTGGCCTATTTTAAAATGGCTGCTGTCACACATGATCAAGGTTGCACGTTTCTAGATCTAGGCTACCGTGTACAACTGCAGCCCAAACAACATGTGCAAATATATCTTGCACAAACAGTTCCTTTATTTCTGCCCAAGTCTATGTAGTTACCCACACTATTGAATTTCTCTTAGAAATATTTTAACCACCATTCAGGATGGGCTAAAATCACTTTCTGCAAGTGCAGAGGAATGCAGGGCAAAATCATGGAGAAAACTACAAATGAGGAGTTTCTAACTTGTACTCTTTGCCAGTTATAACTAGAAATATTGCGACAAGGATATCTCATGCAGGGCATGCAGCACGAATTGGGGGAGAAAAGGAATGCATACACGATATTGGTGGGAAAGCACGAAGGAAGGAAACCTCTAGGAAGACCAAGATGTAAGTAGGTGGATAATATTCAAACGAATCTTATTGTTAGAGTCATGGTGGTATGGACTTAACTCACCTGGCTCAGGATAGGGACCAGTGGTGGACTCTTGGGAACACGGCAATGATCCTTCTAGCTCCATAAAAAGTTGGGAAGTTCTTGAGTAGCTGCACAACTGTCAGCTTCTCAACAAGGGTTCAAATCCATTAACTTCGTTAGTTAATACTTATTGCGGTTTCGAAAGCTCAAAGAAAAAATGTTATACCGTCTCCTTCTCGCAGAAATTAAGAGAGATCGTTATTCATTCCTATTCAAATCTGTGTGGGAAGTTCGTTAACTATTGCTCGTTGCAGCAAAGAGCTGGAGTGTTAAGGATTTCATACATCTACAAATTTCAGAAACTGATAGCAAAACAGAGAGAAAACGGTTCCATATACTCACCCGGATGCGTCCCAAGTAACTAGTTTCTTACTAATCAACCAATTTTGGAAAGCACGTCTCTAAATGCGCTTCAATCAAGAGAGTTTGAAATTGACAGTATTGAATAATATGGCGTCTAGTGTTTTTCTTTGGCTCAGCTGATTGTGTCCTCTATCATTCCTGCGCATAGAATATAGTTCTATTTATATTACATATATGTGTATAAACAGAATGCACAAAATACCCTTCCAGTGTGCATTTAAACTAACAAGGCTTATTGTAATTAATTAAATTTGGTATATATGCTTCTTTATACATGTATGTCCCATTTCATTATAAGAGGGCATTCGGTGTTAAAAGGGGATTAATTTTCCAACAACATACACTGTTGTCACGTTTGAACATCGACTGGAAAGGAATTAATATTATGCGGTTGTGCTTATAATTGCAACGCAGTTACTTACTGAAAAATATGAAGTCATATTTCCTAAAATTATATATCTATTTCTAGTTTGATGTCTTATGTCAATATTTACATGATTCGCCCGATGCGGCAAAGTTGTATTTTCGAATACAAAGAAACGCTTCCTCATTGGCTCAACAGCAAGCAGGGTGTACACTCTGATGCAATAACCGTCATAACCGTCATCACCGTCAATTTGTCGATGTTTGTTTATGTAAGTATAAAATCATATGGTGTGAAGAGAACGAAAACAGCTGATAGTATTGTGAACGTTGCCCTTAAAAATACATAACCCTAACTTAGTTTCGTTAACCTTAAATGCCCAGGTTTGATAATTTTGCTTCTTAGAAATACATAAAATATAATAACTTAAAAATTACAAAACCTTGAAAGTAGTTAATTTCTGATATTCATTTCGAGTCATATCTTGCACACACCGATGGCAAATGCCCTTGTCGGACTAGTAATGCGCAGTCTGATGACTAAATCGAAGACGTATACCTAACAAAAATTCTCCCCATTTAGTAAAAGCAGAATTTTGCATATCTGTGCTGAACAAAAATTACCTGAAATGAGTTTATTATTAAATAAAATCATCTTACAATTATTATACTGCAATGGAGCACGACAACTATGGGTACACACGTTATGCATTCATGACATAAAGAGCTTCCACTTGTGATGTTTGCGTTATGGGGTGTCATCATCTAGGAATTGTGAAAATTTTGCAGAGGATGATGCTGTCATTGGTGAGCCCTTCTTCTTGCTTGTAGCAGTTATTAAATTGCAAGGAGCATTGTGATAGAATGGCGTCTGTTATGTTCTCTCTTTCTGTGGTTGTGTGTTGTGATGGTTTAGTATGGTCTGTTTTATGGTGGTGACTTTCCTTATTGGTATGTATTTTTATAATTCTTTGTCAGCGGTATATGCTCAAACTGTGATGAACTTGTTTGTAGCATTACAGTGGTAGTTCCGGCATGCAGCCACCAAGGAATAGTGATTCTGGCTGGAAATCATAGAAGTATCAGGTTTCAGAAATTAAGTTTCATCCCTGTTGTGACCAGCTGACAAAGAGAAAGACTCTTGCGGCGCATCAGCCACCAAGGGATGGGATGTGTGTGTCTCATCGCCACTGAGCTGCATGTGCACCACCACCAAGGTTTGAATGTGCATCACATAAGGATGTGTGGTAGGATGCTGTTTTTAGAGTTAATGCAGAATCCCTTGTTTTCTTGTGTCTCAGAAAGGTTAAAATATATTGATTATATTTAGCAGAGTAAAATTTCTGAAGCTCCTCATTTTACAGTTTCCTGCAGCCTCATATTATTTCATTCTTCTTCTGTCCAGATATTCTCATTAATATCAGTGTGACATCCAAGCATTTCCTTACATTCATCAAGAAAGAAAAATCATTTATCTCTTTTAATAACATCATATTCTGTAATATGTGTCCTTACATTTCTGTAATTTTTATCTACTGTATAAGAAGAGCTTTGGATTTTAGCCCCATTATCGAAGTCCTTCCAACATTTCAACAAATGTTGCAGTTGCCATCATCAGAATGAATGTTATGGATGGGTAAAAAAATGGTATATATAGGGTCAGAAAGGGTAAAGAAAATGAGTGGCTGGTTAATTGGTTAGACAACAAATGACACGGTTTGAATCTGAAAGCTGATCTCGTACAGCATACTCCATAACGCTGTAACATATAATACTCATTCAGAAACTTTCTCAGTGGCCTTTAGTTCACGTGCAAACTACAGCAACCGAGCGATCGCCGCTTGTCAGCAAAGTTGGTGCCAACTTTTGCGGATAGAGGGTGTCATATGGTCAGCGCAACAGATTCCCACTGCAGTTAGTATCGGTTTTTCAGACAGGATTCAGAAACTTATACCCATGTAAAAGTACATGATATTATATTTTTACATGTAGAATTTGGAAGATAATACAGACATCAGAGGAAGAAAGAAAGTATGGCCACGAATCAGTGCTATAATAAGAGATCTCAATTTCATCACTCTGCCATTCATTACCTCTAGAGGCATTTGCTCACAATTATGTATGTCTCTGAGAAAAAATATAAATGCTAGATGACAAGGCAGACTTGTTACAGTTCTTTAAAACTGAAATATAGAAATATAACATGTAGTTAGCATGGAATGTGGAAACACCCAAAATTCTGAACATGAATTTCAACTTGTTCTTATCTCCTAATCCTGAGTGTACAGAAAGAACATCTGATAACAGGTGTGTATAATACTGTCACATAAATATAGGGCGTTCAATCAAGGAGGAAACTTCGCAACACCACTGACCGGGCCCAGTAGTCCTCACAGACTGCTACTGCAACTGTAACTGTAACTAACTGTAACGGCGCGTGTTTATCAGTGCTAATGACTTATTCTGCTATCAGCAGTTACAGCAGCAATCTGTGAGGAATGTTGAGCCAGGTCAGCGGTGATGCGAAGTTTCCTCCTTAACCGAATGCACTATATATACAGAAAGTCAACACACCTGCAGACCCCCCCCCCTTTCCAGTGTATGAAAAATATTAAAACTTCACTGAGTTGGAGCACTACTGCTGTCTGGAATAAGATTTTTTAATTCAGTATAAATTTAAAAAAAATAATTTTGGCTTCAAGTAGAGACTGCTTTGATCTCAAGGCTGATATGTACTGAAGCGTCATTTAAGGGCCAAATTTGTCAAGTACCAGTATTAAATATCAAAATCTGTTAGGCAGACAACATTTTTAAATTTTAACTTTCAACAGATTAATTTTATTAAAGTATTGCTTTGCATTTCGACATGACTAAGATATCCTAATATTGAATTTTATAAAAAAATTATGAACTTCTCTGGAGCTCAACTGGTGGCTGCCTCCATTGGGTTGTAGAATGTAATACAAGTTACAATGTGCGATTGTCTTATTATCCAACTATGATGTGCTTTCAGCTCCATGCAAGCTATATTACAGCTGAGGACAATATTAGGTATTTTAAATAGTAATATTAAAATGTTTCAGTATACAAAGATTCAACCACTGCAAAGTCTCAATCTTTTAACACAAAAATGCTTGCCTGAATGTATTAACGTTTTGCAACTTTCTGCCCCCCCCCCCCCCCCCNCCAAATCACACTAGCTCACCAGGTACTTGGAATACCATGATTTGATTTGCTTTTCTGTTTTCACCCACCTCAATAAACTATATCAATTTAAGTTTAATTAACTCATACACTTATCCAGCTTGAAATACAGGTTATCACATCAGCATTAAAACAATCGATAAAAAATCACCCACATGCAAGGAACTATGCTTATTTGGGTTCATGAACTATTGAAATGACAGCAGTCGGGATAAAAAAACAGCAAAATGTGATGACATAGTGCCATTTTCCCATTCCTACACTACATTAATTACATGTTCCTCTTTTCAGAAATAATAATATAAGATACATTAGTTATGGATAAAATCTATTATTCCCATCCAAATGTTAAGGCATTAGTATCCAACATCTGCTAGCCATTTAAAATTTGTCTCTAAACAGTATATCAAGTAATTTTGTATTGCCTCGTGCATTGGATTGCACTGATTCAAGTTATGAGCTTTCACATCTCTGAGGAGTTACTTAATCTGTGTTGTTTTGTGACAATGTGTTATACCTATGAGCTGAGCATACATAGAACGAAATGTGGAATGGTGAGGACTATAGTAATCAGTATCCTAAAATATTCATTATGCAAGGCTTTGCTGTATATAACAGTGATGTTTCATTTTACTCTCTTCAGTACATAAGGAAATAAAAAAATCAATACAAATTTCGGTCTTGACTGCATTCATTTTACAAGCCTTCATGGCCACAGTGAACTTCCTGCAGCTGGTTCTAACATGATTATATGATAATCTACAGAATATACAGATTACTGAAGAGATTATAATAACTATCTGCATATCCTGTAACACAATTATTAAGAGTAACATTCTGAATTATGAAACATCACTGAAACCAAACAAGAATGTATGACATAACACCTTCATTAGGGCAGAAAATCCAGATGCAAACATGCTGTTAGGCTTAGTATCCCTCAGAATTTGTTAATAATGTTAGGTTACTATTCTTCAGATGAACACAATTCAGTCTTTTAATGAATGAAGAGCTCTGGATTTTTATAAAAATTAAATGTGTTCATTATCAAATACTTTAACTAGACATACTTGAAATAAAGGAAAACTATCCTTCTTTATTATAAATTCAACTGCTGTAAAGTACAAATTAAAAGCGCTGGAGGAACTCATGTCACAGCATAGCTGGATGCAAATTCAGTGAACTCCATTTCTATTATATATGGTCCATATTCTAACAGTATGAACACAGGAAAAAAATATGAATCCACTCCCCAACACACATCATCCGTTCCATACATTCTTCCGGCCACTGGCACTGGTTCTGTCCCAGAGGCAGTTATCACCATAATATTTAAAGTAAGACTTTTACATAACCACTTCACACACATTAGGTTCATTCAACTGTCCCTGCACTAGATAGGTGTGCTGTTTTGGTGAAATGTTAATGATACAATGAAGTATCTTGAGTAATATATTTTAACGTTGTGAAATAAGGTATTACCCTCAGCACAGGATGATCTGCAAATCCTAGTAGTTCACAATTTAAATCTGAATCACAAGCACAGTTTCCTGTATATGAGCAAGCTGATGAATTTTTCTCTTGCTACTGACTGATCAAGTAACAGAAAGCAGTACATAACATAACAGAACAATTTCAACATTAAAAGCAGCACTGTCTTCTCAACAAGGTGTGAACTCAGCCATACAAGAGCTCACCACTTGTCTCAGTTCTTGTTGCGCATAATCCTCAGGTAGAGGAAGTTGTGTCACCAAGTGGGCTAACACACGTGATGATACTCCCCCTACTCCTTTTTGTAGAAGCAACACATTTCGTACCACATGGACTGTGCGTTTGGCAATTTCAGACTGACATAATCTGCAAAGAAAGCATCACTTAGTATTATGAATGCCCTGAGAAGAAACTTAGGAGAATTTTGACGGATTTAATTTTAGAAATGGTTTCTTCGGGATATGTGAATATTTTTGGCTTGGAAGCACTTGTGAGTTGTTACTTCCAATGGTGGAATCCATTCAAACTAAACTTTATATACCTGTTTACCTGCTGTTGACTACAGTATTGTCACATGTTGGGTATATGTCACGCGACAAATAACTTCATGCTGTATTGGATATAGCTAATTTATTGAACACTCACTCTCACAATTACACAATTTTCACAAGTACTGCCATCTGCAGTATCACAATTGATTCTCCATTCACTCCGGTGAATGCTAGACTGCAACTGACTCAGCGACTTCTAGATTGAAACTGACTGGTTACTGTGTCTCTAGTAACTCGCTAAATACTCACTGCTCACTACTCTAGTAGCTTCCGCACTGACAACACTGAAAACAGTTACACAACAGCTACCACTGTTGCGTAACATCGTGTTTACAGGCGTTGTTGGGGAACGCTGCAGAGAGTTGTTTATTGCCGCGTAGTAACCGCGGTGTCCCCTGTTATGTCACCGCGGGAGGTGATGGAGTGTTTACCGAGCGTTGTGTAATAATGGAAGGGGTGGGGGTATGTGACGTCACTCGCAAGACTGCAGAGTTCACGTGACCCCTACTTCCCGTTGTGCCATCCACGTCACAATATAATTATATTTCTTCTATTGGGAGTCAATGATAGTATGAAATAGTTTCCATGCTCAGATAAAAGTTTACATTGCCTCTAATAATGCACGTTTAACATGATATGGTTTCAGAATGAAAGCTTTTAACTTGTGTGAACTATGCCTGGACCACAGGCATATGTCAAAATGCTGGTGCTTCCATGAGCAGTAGTCTATTCTAAATGTTGGATGCTTTAACTAAGCACTATGCCATGAAGTATAGCTCCACATAAATGTTGGATGCATTAAAGGAATGTTTGAAATGTACAGCTTTCAGTACAAACACAACTTTCAGAAAGGTGTTGAAAGAGAGAACCATTTGCTGAAGCAAAGGTCCACATTGTCCCTTTGAGCTCTTTGCTCTGGTTAAGTGTTCCTTATCTGTCCTTACGTCTCCCCCTCCAACTAAAACCAAAAGGGTATCCTTCAATAACTAAGACATCACTTACCATGGGTTCATTCTAGAAAAATTTAATGTCAAGACCATTTACAGAGCATCCACTGGCTTCTGTGACAAGCTCAAATACAAACCCTCATTTTTGTTAATTTTAGAAAATGGCTGCCCCATCATCATTCTCTTTTGTTAGAGGAGTATCTGACCAGGAATGATATCAATGTGCTTCCACAACCTCCAAAATCTCCAGACCTAGCCTCCACGTATTACTTACCTGCTCTGAAGAATGGAAGTCCTCTTGAAGTGATACAAATTCCAACCACCGTAAGAGATCAAAGAAGATACGATGGTGGCACTTAAGGAAATCAGTCACAGGAAAAAGTCGATAAGAATACTTCCTACAAAGTAAAGGTACTGGCAAAACTGTGCAAAAATGGAAAAGACCTGCTCTAAAGGTGGTGTGCAGTAGAACACACCATGAGATACTGGTAAGCTTACACAGGCAGAAGTTCATTAAGTTTTCAATTCTTCTACAGCCAGGATGACAAATTATCCATTCCAGTTTCATAACATGGGGGGCAAACATACAGAAGGCTTGAAATTATGTTATTTCATTGTTAAAAGCTTACAGTTCTTACAAGTATATGTTACATACCTGTCCATGGCAGTGGGACAAGGCAACATGTTGATTCGTGCACACAGGCCACTCAACTGAGGCTGTAACTTCTCCAGCTGGTATCCTGCAGCAAGGTCTTGGTTAGCAAGTACTGTATCCACTTCAGCTACAATTTTCAGGTAGTCCCAAAGCAGCTGACCCCTATTATTCCAACCAGAAATTGTACTGCTCCGTTCCACAGGAACCAATGCCTCCAGAAGATTGTGCAAATACTTATAATTCTCTGTAATAATAATAATAATAATAATGTGGAACATGAAATGTTTTGTGATACCAGTAATTATTGGAGCCATGGGTACAGTCATGAGAGGGTTGAGAAAATATTTGGAACTAATTCCTGGTAAGCACTCCAGAGATTCACTGCAAAAAACAGCTATTCTGGGAACATCACACATACTACGGAAAGTGCTACAGTGCGAAGCTTGAAGCCTGGTTGGTGAGGTGCATCACTTGTTCAAGAAAAGGAATACCAGGAAATAAACCTGTGACAAGAGATGATGATGATAATAATAATAAACAATAATACAGTCTCCTAGCATCCAGACTAAAGACAGAGAAAAGAAGATGAAAGGGTTTTATAGGCCTTGTGTAACATTAACAACCAATTCTATTTTATACACTTTTTCAAGTTAAATGACATTTCAGTGCCAGTGTTGCTCTTTTAACTCTTATACATACTGTGTGTGTTTCATTTGATTGTACATAATTAGGGAACAGATTTTTAGATGATAGAAACATCACAGAACATTTATTTTTTATGTGCCTTCAAGTATAAAAAATATCTTAAAATCCAAACTACTTTTAAAAAATTTTCCTCGATTATATAAAAAAACACCAAGAGACATGAGTACCTCAGACAGAAAGTGATGCAATGTTGTAGTGAACCATGAAAGTCATCTTTAAATTGTGTATCATAATTCTGTGTCAGTTATCACAGAAGATTGATCTGTATTGAACAAATGTACATTCCACACCACATGATACCAATCTTGCATACTTGTAAGACACTGTCACTACCAGTCTTTAGGTCTTCCATCTCTAATAAAAACGAAATTTCACATGACTTCAAATTCTTATTCTTAGTGAAACATGAGCAGAAGTCCTCCTGCTGCTTTTCTCATGTACTGTAACTTATAATTAGCAGGAACAAATAAAATTTCATACCATCTCACCACAGAGAATGTATAGCTTAATTGAAAACATGTGCTAGTGTTGCATGATTTACTGCAGACACTTCCTGTTATGACAGAAGAAATAACTTCTCTGATAGCATTTGACTCTTTTTTGAAACTCCAATAATAATATCTGCTGCCTTCCTTCCACTTGCATTTCCTGGTTCATCTTTGGATGCCCAAACATTTTCTTTCCCGCCCAATACTCAAATCTTTCACACTTCTTCATAGCATTTAGGTGGAAAATTTTTCTTTAAAGCTAACTCAACTGGAGCATTTGCCTGAGTATACCGTTTATTTGAAAAAGTGGTAATCTGCAGACACATGCCTTTTGCATGGACACTGCAAGAGTAGTAAATCTGGAAGCAGAAGACTTACCAATTACATATTGTCTACCTGGCTGATCTTTTAAGCTGACAACAGTGACAATATGCTTGCTTCAATTTAAGTGTTGTATAAGTTGACAATGCTGTTGTGTGACAACAAATTTTCCACATGCCTCACAGAAGAAGTGAACATATTCTTGAATTTTCAATAGCATACTGACATCAACGAAACTGACACTAGAGTTCAATTTTCCCAACCTTGTAAACTATCTCAACTAATTTGCCATGTTTAAGTTACAAAACTGAAGTACTGTAAAGAAACCTTGTCCAGTAATCAGCATCTAATAACACTGGTTATTAACTGCCCTCCACATTTCCTGACTGGGTAGACTTAAACAGATGTGCCATTTCCCATCTGTCCACTGTCAGTTATGTTCTTCATCATCATCATCAGTAATCTGTCAGACGACAGGTCCACAGTCTCTTCCAAAACAGTTTCTCCACTTAATGCGATCTTCTGTTTTTGGAAAGAGACTATCCAGGAAAAGTGATAATGTGGTAGTTTTTCCATTTGCTTTCCACATCGCAGTACAACAGCCGTTCAAACCACTCTGGTCACGCCTGTTGCTATACGAACTTGAACCATCTCGAGCATCATTTGCTCTGTGCTTCAAGTCGCTGCTGATGACGCTGCTTCCGACATCAGTTTTTGGTGTCTCTCTTCGTCTGATGCCTACCCTTTGACCTGTCCAGCAAGGGAGGCCCTGACAGTAGCTACGCTACCGCTGGTATAGCTCTCAGGGTCCTTGGCATATTCAAACCCCCTCACCACGATAAGGTGGAGACACCAAGGAGGGGGGTATGTTCTTATACTTAAAAAATTGACAGTTATTGTAAACAAGTAATTTCTTTAATTAAGATATAAACAAGAAACCTTACCGTTAACTATAGCATCTGCAGCAATGTATTTCATAATTACTTCATGACTCTTGGTCCAAAGGGCAGCCTTGATCAAGTAATATGCTGCATCCTTATGCCTGTAAAGAGAGGTACGTACAATTACAAATTATAGCAATAAACTACATATACTTCCACATTTGATAAAATTAAGTAAAAATACATTTTATTCTGGAGCTTACATAAATTTTAATCCTCTGAAAAAGATACCCCCTGAAACAGTTAACATATCACTACCAAATAAATGTTATCAATATTAATGAAACAGTAACTAGTACCTAACTCCTCCAAAATCGGGAAATAAAAATAAATAATAAAAATTAATAAACCCTGAGACACAAGGTACAACAATTAAAGCCAGCTTACAAAAGCAAATAAATAAGCCCCCACGGTACAAATAAACTATAACTTAAAACATCAAATCAATAAAATACAACAACAAAACAATAATTTGCCCAAGCCAAACTTAAACACGAAAAAGAAAAATAAACCAATCCGCCTCAGATGTCGAATTCCACGATAAAAAATTCAGTGTATTCAGGAATAAAATAACAAAACAAATATTCTTCACTAGAAAACATTCTTGTACCCCAAAAATTGCATATTCTGTCTCTAACATTTTAAAATAATATATTTTTGTTCCTTAAATCACTGGAATAAAAAGATGACAGTACCATGGAATAACTGACCTAATCACAGTTCTAAAGGAAAAATAACCATTATCACCTCTAATAACAGAATGGCCTAAATTTTGGCATAAGGCTTCTCAAATATTTGTGGCAAAATTCAGCTGAGCACATTTAACCCCTGAGTTCATTATCATGACTTTCTTTCTTAAAAGACAAAATTGCAGACAAAAGTACAGTTGCAATAATATGACTGTGCATTAATCCACATCAAATGTTCACCTATGAAGTATTGCACACTTTCTCCACTAGAGAATGAGGATTCTCGGATAATTTCTACAACTGCAATGGTTTAAGGCACAAAGTTGCTTCACTGGAAGAAAGACTCTATTCAAGAACTCAGGATCGTTGAATTTACTTACAAAAATCACTGCACATGCCTTTCTTTTAATGAAATAAAAGACCTGAATTTAATTTTTCACCTGAAATTTGTAAGATGAAGACTCAGTTAAAAATCTGTAAGTTGAAGCTTCAACTAACTTCAAGTAGTCATTCTTGAGAAGCTGAGAGTCACTTAGTCAACAAATTCCCATCATTTTATGGATGAATCCGGTCCATATACTCTGTATTTCCTAAGATCCAGTTCAATATTATCCTCCAAAGGTATCCCCTTTAAATTTCCCCACCAAAATTTTACTCTAAATTTTGCATTTCATAGTGATAGTTCAAACTGCTCAATATTAACCCAAATTAAGTTCAATAAGCCATGTTGAGGTAGGGCAGTACACTGTAGTCTGAAATTCAAACTGTCAGCACATTGACCTATAAGTAAATAACATGAATGCAGAATGATTTCATCATGCACTAAAATATTTAAAGGACAAAAATTCCCAAGCAAAGAACAATTATAATTTATATAAAAGTCATTTCACACAAACCCTAATTTAAGAATTAAAATTATATTCTCAAGAACCACAAAAGGCAAAATAGGTTACAAAATATAGTTATTTCTTTCAGGCTACCATCAGTAAAAATCAGCAAATTTATTTACTAACCTATTGCAAGCTGAGGCGAGGGTTGCTTTAGCTTCAAATATCCACTGCGAAGGAATATTTAGCTGTTCACAAAGGAAATTTTCTCTGTCCTGATATTCCTCATTATCTGACAAATCAACATGTCGTCCCAATATGTCCAGGACTGCCACTTTTCGACTGAAAAGTGTCAACAGAGAAAATCTAGCTTATTATAATTGACATAATTAGCAGAAATATTTTGCCATGAGCTCAAGCACTCAATTGTGAAATATACAACAAACTTAAATTCAAAATAACCAACCTTTGTTTATTTTTCAGATGAAGCAGAACAAAAATGGCCCAATGCCAAAGACCATGGCTTTCCAACTGAGAAGCAAAACTTGTATGAACAAGAGCAGATGAGTATTCAGACATATGAGAGTAACCAAGAGCATTTAGAACCTGCTGCAGCAGCCAACTGAAAATAAACATGAAACTTACAGTACATAAGAGTCATATGTTAAATAAAATAATCTTTTCCTATAACAGTTATGTTTCGTTTAAGCTTCTCATGTAGAGGATTCTTACTGATTGGAAGTCCTCTTTAATTTAGATAAATATGATTATTTCTTTAGGAGGTGGGAAAGCATAGTCGGCATAGCGATTGGCTATGGGCTGGTTGACCACAAGGTTGGAGTTCAAGTCTCGGTAGCGTAAAGAATTTTCTTTTCTCCACATCATTCAGACCAGCTCTGGGGCCCACCCAGCCACCTATCCAATGGGTACTACAGGCTCTTTCCCTGGGGGTAAAACGGCCAAGGTTTGAAGCTGACCACTCACCTCCAGCTAGCGCCGTGGTCAACAAAACATGGATTTATACATCCACTCCCACATATGCTTTCATGGCATAGTGCTTAATTAGTTAAGCACAGGAACAACTTTACTTTTTACTCCTATTATTATTTCTTTGGTCTGTCATACTTAAAATCACAATCTTTTTTTAAACTGTACTGCAAACCTAGTACACCTTTACAACTTACCTCAGCCGATAATCCAACGGATCTGACGTGTGGGTAGCAGGATTTAGCAGCTGGTTTAATGGATGTGACCGACTACTATAGAGTTTCAACAGGTGGAAGCACAGATCCCATATTGGTTGTCCACTGCTTGTCTCAAGTTCCACACCATCTTCCATATATGGTGGGTCAGGACATTTTGCATATATATCCCTTATATCAGGTGGTCCAAATGCTTTCTCATATTGAAGCAGGGCATCAGTAACAGATGCTACAGGGGAACATATATACCTAAAAGTATACACCTCAACTTACATTTATGCTTTCAGTTTGTTGCCCTACCCCAACACATAAGAGAACTATATATCTTAAAACCAGAGCTTCAAACCTATTCATTCTAAAACAGTTTTATGGAATACATTTTAGAATGAAGATGTTCCAATCATCTGCAATTTCTAATCTGCTTACTGTAAAAAACATTGTTATAAGAAATTATGTGAAGACTACAAAATACTATGAGACTTAAGGCTCTCACAGCAATGACTACTGTCTTCTGAAATGTGACACCATATAAGTAACCAGCATGCACCTCTCCTCACTGCTTGCTTGTCTGCTTTCTAATGGACCACACAACATGACACCCCAGAAGATAGTACTTTCCATATGACAAAATTATAAAGAGCATGGAGTTTTCTTAATTTAAGATATATAACAGTTTACGGTGAATTTAAACTTAGTATGTTTGCTGTATATCTGATGATAAAAGAAGAAAATAAATTAATGTACAACAAACAAAATGGCAACTAAAAAAAGAATAATGAAACATACCGTAAAATGTTTAGTGACCAGATGCAGGGTCTGGATTGGTAACTGGATTTATTGGACTCTTACAACATGTAAATACAGATAATTATAGCACTATCACTAATTATCTATGGCACATAATGAGTCTTTTCAGTCTGTTGTGTCTTCACTAGGCATTGCTTGGTACAGCTCCAAATGTCATAAGTTCCTCAGCTTCCACATTCAATGGCTACTGTCCTCGCTGACTGGTGAATGTCTTGCATCTAATGACTGCAACTCCTGGTCACTGACTGCCTAGATGCATCTGGTCTTCATTGGCTACTACTGGCTTTCACTTCCCATGCAGACTGCTAGCCACTCTGTACTAACTTCTATCATCTGTCAGAGTCACAGTCAGAGTAACTTTATGACTGGCAGTTTACCGCTAATCAGTTCATCATGGCACTGAACCCCCTGAGACCCATGACCAGTATTCTTTTCAACTGAACACTTGCAATTATAGTCCTCATGTAACATCCTCTCTCATGAGAGAGGATGGGTCTGTTGTTTACAATTGCTACTGGTCCTTGCCAGCACAGTCATTCTCGGGTCTGAGTCCCACATTTTACTGACTCATATTCGAGACCCCCACAACCTGGAGGGCCAGGCCCTTGTATTTATATCCCCCAGGAATAGGGTGGCCCAGTTATACCCCCCAGCACTGGGTTCCCTTTTCACTGACTCCTACAACTCACAGGGCTACAGTGGAGGTATTCAACGGTGCCACCACACAGGATTTCCTTCTATTAGCTGTGTTTCAATTCTTCAGACAAGTCTCTGCACAGACCCACAGAGAACACCGCTTCCCACAAGTCCTCTACTGTCATGTGCATAACTGTTGCTACACTGATGTGTTTACAGTGCTGCAATCTAGTACCAGACTTCTTTTCTGACTAAACTAATATGGCTTTCAGCAGACAAGCCATAGTATGTATTTTTGCAAATTTGCAAATAGCTTAATTTAATCTTAAAAGCAAACATACTGCTGAATACATAAAATCTGCAGACATTATGTATGAATGACCCCACATCAATTAGCAAATCACAGTTAATAAAAAAAACACTGTCCTTAAGATGTTAACACATGTATGCACAAAGAGGCTGGATGTATGAAGGAATCAGTACTAAAATAATCTCTTGATTTTCTATTCCTACTAATGTAGGCAGTCTGAAATACAAAATGCCCAACTTTTTTCTTTTTGAGTTAACTACCCTGGATTTTATTGTTTTAAACTCTCACTTATACTTTTATACCAAATATCAATTTGTTCATGCCCTTTTTACAACATCACTAATTTACACAGATCTGTATCTGAAATGAGAAGTTCCATGAAGACCTAATGTTCCTTTAGCCCCTTATACATTTCTATCTGTTTACATGTCCATCTGTGCAGGCTGGTTGGAAGAACTTATTTCTCTTTACAATAAAACTCTTATGGTGTTGTGTGAAATTAGGGTAAAACAGTGTGGCTGACAGAGTGCATCACATGATGAATGCAGATGGTACTAACTCTGCTGGTATGTGGATCTGTCAACAGTATCATTGTCAACATTTCTATGAAGAGCGCTCATTTAGAACAGACAGTTAAAACCTGTACACTTGTACTTTTTTCAATACTGCATGTTATGGCTGGACGGACAGTATGCAAAGCAGAGCCCCTAGTACATTACTAATTATATAACTGAGTCATCCATAAACATGAGTGTAAACAGGTCATCTTGCAACAATTTCAATACAATGATGACATCAACAGCAGCAACAACAACAATACAATGTGAATATTAGAAACAATGACTCCATATTCATTCAAATGAACTAAATTATCTCAATAACATCACACCAACAATTCTTGCTTTCCATCTAATTCTTCAAGCTCCCTCTAACCCTGCATGTCTATCTCTGTACACTCTTATGCTGATGAACATGACCACATGTACAATGAATATGGAAAACAAGTGTTTAATTACCACAAGTGAAGAGCAAAGGCTCTTTTCCAGTCTAAATCTTCACAAACGTTAACAGTGCTTTCAGTGCCACAGAAGAGAGGGATTCCAGCCACTAGCATAAGTAACTTGATTCTATCTCTGTTGATGTAACAACTTGCTTTCACATCTTGCCAGTTAGCCAGTTGCTGATGAATCAACTGCTTTGCTGCTGGACCACCACTCAATTGTGCCAGTAGTAAGGATGTATGGTGATCACCTGTGAAAGATTATCACCTCTGAACTTATCCATTGGATTGTATGAAATTTGTTTTTGGGGAGGCATGGAATCAAACTGATAACATAACTTCATAAAAATGGGAATTACTTTGTAATTAATAAATGATTCAGCAGTAACTTTACCACAGCCTTCCATTTTCTCACAAGCCTCCAGTATTTTTCTGCCAGACAAAAGGGAGAGTACCACAGGAATATGGTGTTCCTTGTCTTGTGTTTTCGAGGATTCATCCGAGAGTGCAGCTGTTTCCTGCCTCACTTTCTGCTGTACAACATCTTCCAGCCATTTGCTCACTGCCTCTCTCCGTAACATTACATTCTGATGGCTGTTACTGTCTGCATCTGTAACAGTACACAATTTCACAGTATTTAATGACCATTACGCATGAAATGGTGGATAGCTCATTTCAGAGAACACATTTTATATACTCTTGTCAGCATACTTATACACTTCCAAGACTTTTGTGCCATTCCTCAATTCCTCATGAAAATGATGACCACTTCTTTCCACATACTTCTCAACTCAGAATTCAGAACTGTCATACCAATCACTGCTATACAACATACAAAGCTGATATGGTATTGTTAAAAGAATTAAGAAAGGAAGTACATTTACATGATCAAACTATCCAGCATTTTAAGGCTAGAACTGACTATGTCACTAGAACATAACAGTTCCACTTATTAGAATATTCAGTAAAGAATTTCAATTACACTGAAAGGTTTGTTATGTAATATGTTAAAACAAGATTACATTTTTTTTAATCTGTTTTGTTGGCATAGAGAATTATTAAATGTTAAATGTATTGCTTCGTGAAACTCTGTCATTTTGGAAGACACTTTTGTCTGGATGAATGGCTACAGTTCAAACAAAGACAGGAATTGGTCAGACTGCAAGGAATTAATAAACCTCACTGGGGAATTCTTATTGCCTTTCAGCAGGAGAAATGGGTGCACAGGAGAGTTAAATTAAGGTAAAACTCTTAACACCACGTTATAAATACATCCAGGGGGAGCAGAAGTACAGCTCCATAAATTAACCCAAATTTAGATGAAGATGAGTTTGAAGCAGACTTGAAGAGTGCAACATGTAGGTGGCTGGACAGTAGAGATCTTAGAGAGATAGGATGGGATGGTATGGACTGGATCAATCTGGCTCAGGATAGAGACCAGTGTAGGGCTCTTGTGGACACAGTAATGAACCTTTGGGTTCCATGAAATGCTGGGAAGTTCTTGGGTAGCTGCACAATTGGCAGCTTCTCAAGAAGGGCTCAGCTCCACGAGTGAGTGAAGGGGGAAATAATGTCAGTTAAAACCACATTTAATAAACAAACATGGGCTCCTGCACTTTGAATCAATCTACTCCTAGAATAGTCAAGTACTTGAAATTATGAAAGAATGACTTGAGTAAACCAGTGATGTAGTAGGACACATGGTTGTGGTACAAATTGCAGCGACTGGATCCCAACAGTGAAACACACAGAACTAAAAAAATTATGATATTTAATGCACATAGCTAAACCATAAAACCATCCAAGTAGTTTTTCAGTGCACTGCTGCTGTTACAACTGATTGATATATAAACAAATTATACAAATTTAACAATTCCATATTATATACTAAGGTCAAGAATGGTGGCGCTATACTTCCACTTCCTAATACATCTTCATGGTATGGTGCTTAATTAATGAAGGACAAGGTCAACTTCATCTTTTTAATTATATAGTGTAGTTTCACATACCCAAATCTGGAAGGTTACCCCACAGTGCCACACACAGTTTCCACACCTGAGTGCTGTAAGCAAGCAGTACATCTGTTTGGTCAAAACTAAGTTGATCAGCCAAGGCACAATGAGCATGCAAAGCATCCACTCCCATACGAGGGATCAGAAGTGGGCAGTCATCTTCCAGTTGGGACTGACAATGCTGTAGCTGGATATGTAAATGACCTTCCAGTGCCTCCTGAATTACAATAAGAGAATATATACGTCTGAGTCAAATTGAAAAGAAGTAATCTGATATGCAGTTTATCTATGTAGGTAAGTCAATAAGTAAGTTACAAATGGATATAGAACTTAAACAAATAAGAGTACTGATTTGAAAAATGCTTTTATTTCTCAACATAATCTCCCTTTACATTGAGGCACTTGTCCCATCGTTTCACAAGCTCCTGAAAACCAGCAGCATAAAATTGTTTGGGCTGCTGTCAGGACCAGGCAGTGACTTCCCTTTCTACAACTTCATCGTCGGGAAACTGTTCAGCCAAAAGATGATGTTTAAGAGGACTGAGCAAAAGGAAGTAGCTTGAAGCTATACGGAGGATGCTCGAGGATTTCCCACTTGAAATTTCGCAGCATCTCATTTGTCTTGTTGGCAGTATGGGGATGCGCGTTGTCATGCAAAAGCAGTAGGCCTTTGGTGAGGAGTCCTGCTCACTTCCGTTGAATGGCCTTATGAAGTTTCCTGAGGATGTTACAGTAGGAGTTGGCCCTCTTAAACATCATCTCCCAGCTGAACATTTTCCCAACGATGAAGCTGTAGAAAGGGAAGTCACCACCTGGTTCCGACAGCAGCCCAAAGAATTTTATGCTGCTGGTTTTCAGGTGCTTGTGAAATGATGGGACAAATGCCTCAATGTACAGGGAGATTATGTTGAGAAATAAAAGCATTTTTCAAATCAGCATTCTTATTTGTTTAAATTCTATATCCATTTGTAACTTACTTACTGACTTACCCTCATATAATGTACAGTGATATCTGATTTAAGATGTAAATCTCTAGGGCATTACTATTATAAGGATGATGATAAAGGATGTAGAACACAAATTGCCAAAAAGTACGCAAGGCCTAATACATAACAGCTTTGTTCAAAAGCAAACTTACACTATGTTCATTCAGAAAAAATATGTGTAAAATGACAAAATGCAACTGAGGATAACTAAAATGTGGGCACATTCAGAAACCATAACAGATGTTTTATAAAAATACATTTCAATATTATCTACATCTTATGTTGATCAATTTTTACTTTCTCATAGATGTAGTACATATGAGAAAGTATTGTAAATGTGAAGAAAATCGATCCTGACATTTTGGTGAACTTACACATGTTTGCCCCCTTCCCCCCTTCATTAAACAATAGAGGTTTTTGGAATGTCTGTATGTAAAGCAATTTTTTGATCTGGTCAATACATCAACAACTAAATCAGTTTTCTTTATCTTAGGCCTAGTGATCTGTTACATTCTCGTACTAGTGTCTGCAGGATCTCCCTAACAAGTTCTGTTTCAGTTCATATTCAAGAATCTGAACTGGCACTCCTGAGCATGCAGTTCAAAGACTGGTGGTTTTCCTGTTAATCTCTAATTTTCAATGAATCAGTTGCATTACATTATTATCATTATATCTAAAATTTCTTTCATAACCCAATCAAGTACAGCCTGGTATGATGTGGCCATAACTGCTCAATATGGAGCAAAATGTAGTTTGAATGAGAAACATAAAATATTAAATCTCAAGAAATTCAGCCAAAAGACACCATAAAGAAAAGCTGTGCTCCACAATGCTCTTCAAAATGTGCAATTTCATCATACAGTTGAGTTCACCAAAAAAATTAACAATCTCTCATTTTCAGTTTTATTCTTAAATGTTGTACACTTTTATAGAATTCACTAATCAAGAAAACAAAGCTGTGAATAAGATAATGAAATAACAGAATACGTGATCTCAATATACTCCACATCAAAATACTGGTACCCAGTTGCATTCATCTGTGTTGTGATAAAACTGAAGACATTGACAATTGCATATTCTCAAGAAAACACAATAAAAACCATCTACTTCTCAATAACAGCGGTACCATATTATTATTTCGGGAACACAATGGGGAGCTTAAAATACAAGCCATACCTCTCATATGAATCTGAATGTTGGACATTAACAAAAGAAAAAATGAGAATAGAAATGGCAGAAACACATAAAATCAAAGTGGTCACAGGACAGAGTGACAGGTAATTGATAGTAATGAAGACACTGGAAAAGAAATGGGAAAAAATGATATCAATAAATAATAAAAAATTATCCAATAAAGGTCTGACAACTGAGAACTTAATTCCTAAGTAGCTCATCCAATATGAACACAAAGAGCAGAATATGGCTGGGATGTCAAACAGATAAATAATTTTAATTCTTTTAACCAAAACAGGCCAAAACCTAAATTCACATTGTCATCAAAGAGGTGCAACTACTTATATCTTTTACAGTGTTTCAACAGTCTTTATAGTTTTGTAGGGGATTTAATGTTCTAGGTTTGACAGGGGTGCAAGTTCACTTTATTAATGACTTTTTTTTTTTAATGCCCTGGTAATCTGTGAAAGGCAGCGTAGCCAATGCTCATTCTTCAGGTGATTCTGGTTATCATCATTCCTTATTATTCTACTTTCATTGCCATGAACATTGACAGGTTTACTATCATCCTCATGTCTGTATGTATGCCTGTCCTCACCTACTAACTTAGGAACCAACAGGTCTTAATGAAACGTTGAAACCAACACCATGCCACCAGAGGCAATCCTATCTTCGTACTTACTTCCATAACACAACAGGGACATCGTGGGAACTTCTGAAGTGTGATTAGCGCCGCCTAATGTGTGATTCTGAAATGCTGGACAGTCTTTAACAAAATGAAACTTCTATTAAAGCTATATTTTTCTAGGTTTTAAAAACAATATGATACTTACACAAAATTAATATTCAGATATTAGTCTGACAGCATTCACTACAGAATCACTGCCGTTAAAGACACCTGAAGTTCTGTACAAAGATCAGTCATACATAAATGAGGGATGTCCAAATGAAACCCATTCAAGAACTGACCTGAGAAAAGGAGTAGAGGCCACAAAAAGCCTCCAACCATCTTGAGGCAGGCATCCCATATTCATACCAACTGATGGATTTCCTCGACAAAGAACTCCTTGAGTTGCTGTAGGAACCATTACAACACAGAGTGGCCTTCAGATCTTTGTCTGACCTGAATCTACAGCCCTCTAGAGCTTTCTTGGTGGGGCAGAACAGATTCCACTTAATTCTCATGCACACAAAGTTAATATAATACTGTATATAAATCTTATGAACTTTAGTACATTACCACAATTTTAACAAAATACTAACCATGAAGTTGGCTGATGCATCTTTTCCTCCTCCAAAAATTTGAAGCCTCTGCACAATGCACTGAGAACAATCGCCTTCTGTCCTCCCAGAAGTGAAGATGTTCAGCTCAGAGAGTTTAGCTCTGAGTGGTACAACTGCAGCTGCTTTCTGTGTGTTGAGCGTCAGCAGTGTATTGTCTCGACCCCAGCCTACACGAAAGCTCCTTCCAATCACAAGGCCCATATCAGCTAAGCAGTGTGCTGACATTCGTCCCACACTAGACTGAGACAGGGGAACTACCTCACCATGATGACTTAGAACTGCTATTTTTGGACACACAGTTGGGGGTTGGATCCAGGGTCCTGCTGGCAAGTGGGCTGATGGTCTTACTTGAGGGGCATCCTTTGACCCTATGCAGTAAGAAGGGAATCTCCAGCTAACAGCAAAATCTTCCATATTTTCACTAAAAAGTTCTCTGAAGTTAATTCCATTTGTAAAACAATGTCACAATTAATACAAAGGGAATGTATAGCTAAAAAAGAGACAGCAAGAAAGAAATACTTTCACTAAAATTTTATTTTAAATAACTGATTATTTATTTGTAACACAGAATCACAATATGTTGAGAAACAATGCAATTTTTATCATACATCTTGCCTCTATCAGATTTATTTCAACCAGACAAAATATGTTTCTTTTGTATATATGTATTTAACACATACATATTCAACCACCTATGTGTAGTACTTACACCTCACATATGGAAAAATATCAACATGGCAACTGAAAACTGATTGTACATGGGCAAAGTGGCAGTCACTGTTGATTAAAACCAACTTGTATTTATGTGTCATAATATACACACACAAGCTGAAATGTGTTCCCAGTCATGTGCAATTATTTGATTCGGGTTTAAAGAGTTATCACGAGGGTTTTTAATTTTAAATTAAGTTTAAACTGTCAAAAAGATAAGCTCCTATCAGAGAAAAATGAATAATAATGTTCACTAATAACAGCATAAATAAACCATACATGCAAAACTGGTTTCACATTTAAATTTCTGTAACTGTCATTATCATCAAACCTTTTTTTTTAAGGCCTGTATCTGCATGTATATTCTTTTTTTTCTACAAAACAAGCATACACTCCTTTCACGTGACTGGGTTTTCTCATTTCTGTAAAGTTTGTCTGATGATCAAGAAACATTTGCATGCAATATGTACAGATATCATATGCAATACATTTTCAATCACCAGAAGTAAAAGTGGATGTAAAAATTACATGAAGAATCGGTAGCTCACACAAAAAGCTCCATTCTGTGTCCCATCCATTTTAATATCATGAAAGATCTTCTACAGCCAAACTAGTGCATACTATGAGGTAACAGCTCAGTTTGGTAGAAAGTGAACTGCTGCTTAACAGTGTTATTAAATCATTACTCATAGTGAATAGGCTGTTGTTAAATTAACATGCTTAAATGCATGAATGATAGGATGGTCATTAATGTAAGGAGCTTAATTTTACAACATGCATTTATTTTCTTGGAGCAGTGGGTAATGGTGAAATATTCCATAGTGTGAATTTTTCTCCTGTTACAAAATGAATCAATGCAAATCTCAACATATTACAGTGCTTCCAATACAAACTAAATTACTGTTTAGTTCAAGAACAAATACCAAACAAATTAATCATTCACAGGTAAAGATGTGAGAAGAGAGAGACTATTTTAGGACGTATAGCCCTTATCTTCAGGGTCCAAGAGTATACCAATCAAGAAACTGGCTGGTCTTAGACATAGAATATGTAGGCAACATGTTCCTCTGAAAGGTCAGGCTTTCACAAAACTACACAGTGTTGCAAACTTGAAAGCCCGTAATCTACAAAGAACATTAGTTCTAAAACTAACAAATACTACACAGCCACTTAATGTACTTATAATACCTACAATTAACACCACTGTTACCTGAATTCCAAGAAGACATTTATTTAAAATCTGGTTGTCAAAAATGAAGTACACATATTTCATCTAAATTTTAAAAAGACAAAGGGCAAGCCACCACCAGATCTAATTACACAAGTGAATACAGCACACTGAAAGCCTGCATTTAGATAAGTGAAATAATGGTTTGTAATTATGCAAATCAATTAATCATGATGTTATAGTCTATTACATTGATACTTCATGGAGACATACAGGGAGAGACAAGGAAAGAGGGAAGAAATTATCACCTCACTCAGAACTATGACCATAGAGATACAAGGTATACAGTGAGATGACCAAATCAAAGTGTACAAAAATTCAACTGGTAACACAAAGAAACTGATAATACAGGATGTTTCACGACTTTAGGGCATAATTGCAGGTGATTTCCTAGGTCTTTGTGATCAAAAAAGTTCATATAAACATGTGTCCGATTTTGGACGGTTACGGAGTTATGACCGTTTTAAACTCAGAATAGAAGGTAACAATTACTGACAATAAACAGAACAAAATAATAAACCAGCATAATACATGATACACTTAAAGTATGAATGTAAAGTTAACTCGTGAAATTACCTTTAATTTGAATTTATTGGTGCTTAAAGCTGATTTTTGAAAATAGCCCCAACACAGGCTGCCGCTAGGTTGTGAACCACACCGGACATACCAACCCACCACGCCTTAGGTACCTCTCAAGTGTCGAGATAATGAGAACACTCTGTCTGTAGCTGGCTAAAAATAGTGACCCGCCAGATGACAGATGCGGTTCACATGTGGGCGTGTACGGGAACGAAAAAACGGTCATAACTACATAACCGTCCAAAATCGGACACATGTTTATATGAACTTTTTTTATCACAAAGACCTAGGAAATCACCTCCTGCAGTTATGCCCTAAAGTCATGAAACACCCTGTGTATGCAACTTCATAACCATGGGAACATACACAGAGACTGAAGCACTACACTTCAATCACAAGATATGTTACCTGGTAAGAATATCGTGAGTCTACTACCAAATGGAGAAAACATCATTCAATAAAAATAATAGTGGAGTGGTTAAGTCTTGAACCCAGAAGTCTATAAACTGGTTTGGAATAAAATAAAATGAAATGAAATACAACTTTAAAAAATACATATTATCTACAAATAACCATATACAACTATGAATATATTCTTAAATGTAAATGTCTGCTACTTGAAGACCAATTATTTATTACATATAATAAACACACACAAAATTTGCATTTGCAATGGCATTAGTACGTGTATCTCAAATTTAAAGTGTCTTTTGGAAATATTAATGTAATTCAAGTATATGAGTGTGTGACTCATGTACAGGAACTAAAGCCATTATGTATCCCACATTTAAACCCATGAATATGAATGTGTGGAATAAATGTAATCACTTGTCTCTCATGGGTTCTGCCCTGGTGGTTTGTAATGGCCTTGTTTTTCACAGTAACTAGTGAAAAAGGAGTAGCTATAGCAACCAAAGATACAGCACTGTATTCAATTTTGTCTTTCCAAAATATCTACACACAATCAGTTCATGAGTTTCAAAATAATGGTGCAAAAATGTTACAAACTTCTACATGAGTACAATACACCTTTTCCCCCAAAAACAAACTATTCTTTCATCTTAAGGCCATGCTGTGTATATCATTAAAAATGTAATCTGTGATGCTACATAATTTCCCAGTCATGATTCATAATATATCATTATTGAAAACAGGTGTGTGTATGGGCCCATGCAGTGGGTGTGCATACATACAGACTCTCCTTAACTGGCATTTTATTTAAAATACAGGCAACATTTATACAGATTGCACCATAGTTCCTTGGAACTTTACTGCATAGAACATTTTCATGAAAACAGTAGTTAAAGCATGTATATCCATAATGACACACATATAGTATCTGATACAAATTTATAAAGTAAAAATTATCATAAAATTACAAGATAAAGCCTCCACAATGTTCCTATCTACCTTTCAATTCCAGATATGTTACTGTGTAAAAAAATAAAAGCAAAAAGAACTGCAATTACAGGGTGTCACAGTCAAAGACCAAAAGTGGGCAATGTTGCATATCACCTGGCCCTAGATGACAACATTATAAGCGATACCTATTTTACAGTAAAACCCCAATATCAGTTATTCTGAACAACAGTGGATTTGAACATTAAAGTGAGGAAAATCTTAAATTGTAGGAGTTTTGACAGCGAAATGATTTGCATGGAATCAGTGAAACTGAATGTTAAATGTGGAAAAACATGGGAATATTAAATGGGGGTTCCATATTAATTTAGGCCACCCCCAGACAACATTCTCCTGTAACACTTGGACACTCTGTCCATGCATCATGGGAGGGAAGCAAGAAGAGGGAACTGTGAATATGATACCATACTTGCATGGCAGTAACTGTGGCATCTTCACAGGACAGCAGTGCTGTGCAGAGATTTAACAGGAAAGGGTTGGAGTTAGTGATGAATAAATGAAGATGATTCAGAAAGTCTACTACCCCTTCATTCCTTGTGTAAAATAAATATACCTTTTGACGATTGTATTTTCATTCATTTATCAGCCAAGCAGTTTAAAAATTAGAGCTCAATAATTTCTCTACATTATCATTAACCATCTAGTCACAGTCGCTGCTGACAATGACTGAAATAACCAGCAATGCCAAACAGATGTTTTCGCTGACAAAGGCATAGGAGATCAAATGCTGATAATGGTCCACCATTCATTATTATTTCCCAAGACTTACAGACACTAACAACAATATCCAACTTTGGCCTTTGTCTGTGGCATATATATCATTCTTCTTCTAATACTTCTAGCACTGTATCCACATTATACAGGTTGATGTGTGAAAAGACAAAGTACGAGGGATATCCGGAAAGTAAAGATCAAATGCAAAGTGATTCCACCCCCAGAAATGGCAGTGCTGCCATATGAGATAGGAACCGTATAACAGGGCTGAGTTAACCAGCCACAGTCATGGCAATGTTGTGCTCACAGAGTGTGTTTAAAATGGCCATGTCGATTCAAAACCCCGCAAAATTTGAGGTCCGTGCAGTAATTTGATTTCTTCATGCAAAAGGAGAAACTGCTGCTGGAATTCATCGCCAACTTGTTTCTGTTTATGGCAAAGATGTTATGAACAGGCGAAACATGGCAAAATGTCGTGAATTTGAAGTGGGAAGAAGTGAAATAAGGAGTGGAAGGCAATCCATTGACATTGATGAAATCATCCAAAAAACTGATGAAAACATTTGTGCTGACATATGTTTAACCATCAATGAACTTCATTTACAATGTCCAGAAGTGTCAAGAACTGTTCTCCATGTCTAAGAGAGCAGGCGGGAGATTTCTACCACAATGGACTTAAAAAAAACTCACTCCCAGGTTCCTGCATTGCGATCCATGGTGACTATGTTGAAAAGTAAATAAAGGTGTGTTGTAAAAGTACTACAAGTGAATCCCTCCAAAAAATGCTTTAAAATATTTTCTGGCCTTTGTATCTTTCCGGATAACCTTCATACATGACCATATAATACAGAAAAGAAAAATTTGCAGTGCCTACATCTCACCCTTAACAGAGACTGATGTCCTTTGTGGGATTGGCTCAGGAGCAGAAAATTGTGTGCGAAACACAGAAAAGCTTTTGGGTAGTCTGGGTAGTGAAACTTCCTTCTCAGGCTCAGCCTCTTCACTGAAGTCACCTGCATCCATATCCAACAATTTGCCTCCATGAAACTGTGTCAACTCCATGAAATCTAAACAAAAGCAAACAGTAACAAATATCAATCATGGATGGATAATGTAGGATACTTATGCAACAATCATATAAAATTGAATTATGTGCTAAGGAGACTATTCTGGTATTGGAAACACAAATTAAAATGAGAAGTGAGAAATGAAATACTCCTATTTTCCTAAGTATTATTCTTCACTTAAGTGTATCAGAGTGGTTAAATCAAGAAGGCAGAAATGCAGAATATGCAAGTCATACAAAATGTATACGTCTTGAGGAGAATATTTGGACTGAAGAGAGATGAAGTGACAGGAGGTTGGAGAAAACTGCATAATGAGGAGCTTCATAACTTGTACTCTTCTCCAAGTATAATTAGAATGATAAAGTCAAGGAGGATGAGGGGGGCAGGGCATGTAGCACAAATGGGGAAGACGAGGAATGCGTATAGGATATTGGTGGGAAAGCCGGAAGGAAAGAGACCACAGGGAAGACCAAGGCATAGATGAGTGGACAATATTAGAATGGATCTTAGAGAGATAGAATGGGATGGTATGAATTGGATAGATCTGTCTCAGGATAGGGACCAGTGGAGGGCTCTTATGAACATGGTGATGAAACTTCAGGTTCCATAAAATGCTGGGAAATTCTTCAGTAGCTGCAGAATTGGTGGCTCCTCTAGTAGGGCTCAGTAAGTAAGTAAGTAAGGGCAGAGTAAGTAAGTAAGTAAGTAAGTTACAAAGCAAAACTTAAATAGCAAGACTGATCAAGCAATAAATAACCATCAAATAACTTTGATGGGTACTTCAAACAATAGGAATTAAATATGACACCATGGTATTTCAAATGGGAACATTGTCACATGTATGTGTGACTACAGTCATGGTTTTGGATTTGAGATTGGTTGTAACTACAAATAACTATAATACTATTACTAATTTCCACACTTTACAAATCACTACAGCACAAGCTAAGTCTTTTCAATCTATTTTGAATTGTTTCATTTTTGGTCCGTTACACTATCAATCACGAAATTAATAGAAAGTCCGTCGAGTGTAACAATTTGTAGGTCACTTCTTTATCACTTCTGCCTTACATGTTTCGGTTTGACACAACCATCATCAGAGGCACTTACTACAATTATGAAAACACTGTCGTTGTTTATGATGTTGACAGTTATGTTGTTGTGTGGACGCTGCTACAATATGTTGACGTGTAAAAGCACAACACTTGCTAGGATGGTTGAGTACACTATCAATTCTCACTTTCCATCGGAAACTGTTTTTTAGGTTAAAACGCTAATGTTAAAATATTTATAACATTTGATGTAAAATGCTTTAAATATTTTAAATATTTTAACATTAGCGTTTTAACCCAAAAAACAGTTTCCGATGGAAAGTGAGAATTGATAGCGTACTCAACCATCCTAGCAAGTGTTGTGCTTTTACACGTCAACATATTGTAGCAGCGTCCACACAACAACATAACTGTCAACATCATAAACAACGACAGTGTTTTCATAATTGTAGTAAGTGCCTCTGATGATGGTTGTGTCAAACCGAAACATGTAAGGCAGAAGTGATAAAGAAGTGACCTACAAATTGTTACACTCGACGGACTTTCTATTAACTTTGTCTTTTCAATCTGCTGTGCCTTATTTATTTATTTATTTATTTATTTATTTATTTACATTTATACATTCCGTTGATCCTTATGGTACAGCTGACCAGTGGATATGGATTTTGTCCCAAGCTAATAGATTAAAATACGCAAAATACAAAAACTACATACATACTTTTGTCATTAAGACAGTTAAAAGATTTATATTAAAGTACAATGCATAAAATGATCAAAATTATAAAACAATAATTGATACAAAATACTTAGGTAATGATATAAAATTATAACATATCAGGGGTACAATTACCAATTTTAATTACATACATGGTTAAAATATTCCTCTAAGGAATAAAAAGAATTTGAAAGAAAAAATCTTTTTAGCCTCAATTTAAATAGTTTCACATCATTACTCATACTCTTGATTCTGGATGGCAGGTGGTTATAAGCCTTGATACCAAAATAATATGGTCCTTTCTGAAAGATTGTTAGGCGTGATGTGGGAAGATGCAAATTTGTGGTATGTCTAGTATTGAGACTGTGGGTCTCATAGTTTGAACTGTATAGGTCTCTATTATTTACAACAAACAGAATTATAGAGTATATATACTGTGAGTACATTGGTTTTATTTTTAGGTTTTTGAATAGTTCCCTACATGAGTCTCTAGTTCTTACATTCATAATAGTTCTAATGATCCGCTTTTGCATTCTGAAAACATTTATACTAGTTGCTGAGCTACCCCAGAAAATTATCCCATATTCCATGATAGTATGCACATAGGCAAATACAGCCTTGTGGGACACCATATTTGATGATCTCCCAATCAGAAAAGGTGGTATTATAGGTTGTCCTATTATTTAATACTACCTTTTGGTATCTATTGTTCAAATAAGACTTGATTAATTTTTTAAATACTCCATTTATCCCAGTCATTCCCTGATAATGGCTTCTAACAGCAGGGATTCTTCAGCTGCACCGACAACCCTTGTCTTCACAGACTCCCTTACAAGTGACTAACTTATAAACTTGTCCCTTGCTTATAAGTTCTCGGCAAGGACCGCATAGAAAACACTGTTCATCGTTGTGCTCCAGTCGTTTCCTTGGGAACATCTTTGTTTGCGAAGACACTACTCAGCACTGGCTGCACACACTTCTTTATTGCAAATCTACTGCCTAGCAGCAAATGTTGTTTCATTGTTTGTTTCAAGGTTGTTACCCAGTATCAGGCATAGCTTTTCAGGATGTCTGTATCATTTCTGACACAAATACTGAGTCTTATTCTTCCAGAAAGATTTTAGTCATCAAGAGTTGGGAGTGTCATACAAAATAATGAACTTCCATGAGGGAGTCTTTACTCCTAGCTAGATGTAATGCTAGGGCATGGAACCTAGACACAGTTTCTACTGACTCTGGAACCTTAAAACCACTTATCTACAGACAGCTAGAATCACACCTTTCTGAAGAATATGGTCTCCCTGAGACCTATAACTAAACAGGAACCAGCAGTCCTTGCAGATTAGCATCATTATGAAGCCTACATGCTGACATCAACATAATTTTATGAAAAACATAGACATAATGCCTACTAAGACACTGTGTTCTGAAACATCAGAAAACATGGGGAAGATTAAATGCTTTAAGTGTTCAACAGGGATAATATTGCGACATGCCAGCTGAAAGGCTGGAATAATGGAGCCAAATGAAACTGTCTGCTGCTAGGTAACAGCTCAATAAATGCTTATTGCAGCAATGGATATGCATGAGACAACAGAGGAACTGTTGGAAACAGTGTTTTCTATGCAGTCTCTTCCAAGGCTATATAATGAAAATCAAAAGGACAAAAGAAGGTTAAGGAATATGTGGCAAGCAACCATGTATCCAGAATGTAAAATGGCAATTAATTTGGTCGCCAAAACCATCGAATGACCTGCAAGAAGGCACCCGAATGGTGGGAAACAAAAGCAGGGAACTGTGAGGTCACTCCTTAAGCTGTGGCCTATTGCAAAATCACATATGAAAAGGAATGGGACCTCTACAATAATATATCACTGAACAAAAAAGCCAACATGACTGCAGATTGTTTAGAAAATCAGTTCGCATCTCATGACATGTGACAAAAACCATCAGAGATGGGTGGAAACTAGACAGCAAGCTCTGCTCACATCTGTAGATGACACTCCACTGGGAAAAGTAGGACCCTGTACATACATAAATTGACAAATTCATTGAAATTGACAAAGGTTTGTGGACATGATGATATTCAAAACAAATACCTTAGGCATCTTACAAGAAGACCACAGGTGCAGCTGACATATTTATTTAATCACTGCCTTTGGCTGTCCCATGTTCGAAAGCCTTGGAAGTGAGCAAAAGTTATGTTACCAAAACCCAGTACGGACAAAAAATTCTCTCAAAATGTACAGCCACTTAGCCTCTTGTCTACAACAGGCAAGCCATTTGAGAAAGTTATTTTGAAAATAGACCAAAGGCACGCTGAAAAAGAAGCCTGCTTAATGCAAGCAAGTTTTGTTTCTGTGCATATCACAGCATGACATTTCAGTGTATGGGGCTTATGACTGTCACATTAAATTTCAACAATAACATGTCTACAGCTGCTGTATTCTTGGAAATTTAAAATCCTTTGACACAACATGGAACCTTGGCTTGCTATATAAATAATATGGCTTAAAATTCTCCATCAGTCTAATCAAGCTTATTAGCTCTTTTCTTTCTCAGAGAACATTCAGAGTTTTGGTCGAAGGTGAAATGTCTATGCCAAAGGATACACAAGCAGGGGTGCCACAAGGGGCTGTCCTGTCCTCCACATTGTACAGTAGGTACACATAAATGATATGCCCCAAACACCCGGTGAATATCTAGGTCTCTTTGCTGATGACACCTGTATATACGTAACAGACCACAAAAAAGGGTATGTTCTCAGAAAGCTGTAGCAAGTTCTCAGTGCTACTGAGATATGCTGTGAACACTCTAACTTAAAAATTAATGAAGATAAGACTCTGGTCATCTACTTTTCTCACAGACTTAGGCCCCTTGAGGCTCATCTTACACTGAATGGACAGAATTACCGCTTCATCAATAATGCAAAATATCTGGAGACTGCACATAGAACTGACTGAAGCCAAGGCCTTCAGAACACTTTATTAGAATATACTCCCTATTCAAAAGTGAATGTTCAAGTGTCAACATTAAACTAACCTTCCATAAAGCACCAATTAGATCAGTAATGTCTTATGCTTTCCCCACCTGGGAATTAGCAGCAAACGCCTACGTCTTAAAATTTCAGTGCCTGCAAAACAAGGTTCTCTGCACCCGTGGAAATTCTTACAAGGTGCACACCAGTCTGTGATTTGCACATGGATGTCAACCTTTTGTATGTAAATAACAGAATTGTGCAGGCAACAAGCAGAAGTCGTACAAAATCATGAGAATGAACATGTTTGAAGCATGTGACAAGACATAAAAAATATATGAGGCTTAGATCTGGCAGTGGTCAAGCTTATGATCGTTCAAGCGATTAAGCTGCCGTTGTACCATAGATATGTAAGATAGGCATGATCTGCTTTGCAAAGCCTCTACTGACAGAAGACTTGTATATAGTGCAAAAGGCAGAACTTTCAGTAACACGCTATATGTGCAATACCTACATTTGACAAAAGGTTAAGCATATTCATGAGACAAAACTATCTTCTCGTCAGAGAGGGTGTTATGTAAGGACTATGATCAGAAGGGTTCAATTGCCCTCCCCATCAATTTGGTCCTGATCCTCAAGGGTCTCGACATGAAGACAAACTGATACACAGCAAAACACCAGTAATAAAGCAACTCTGACTATGAATATAAAGTCAGTTCAGAGACAAGAGCTGAGATAGAGAGTTGTGACATGGTACAGAGTCAGCAATGATGTAAGCATGGAAGCAAGACATTGTTGGAATTGGCTACCAAACAAAGACAAGTACAGACATAGCAAACTTAGAAGACTTAGTGTGTTATAGTGGATCTGTTAAGGGTGTTGATTAGTTAGACTATTAAAACTACTTCTGGAGGCTTTATGTCTGGTGCAAAAGATTTGTGCCAACAAAAATATGGCACCGATGCCTGAACACTGAATTTTTCTATCACGTCAAAATTATGATCACAGTAAATGTTAGGATGTTGGTAGATTTACCCCTGACTTATCCATACTATATAGTACGGTTAGGGAAACCTTACCGCACAAAATCATTTGAAAAATCTAATCATCTGAGAGATAGTATTAAAATTAATCTTCAAAAATAGTTCATACAGACATCACCTGGATTGAATGACTTCAGAACAGTGTCAAATGGTGATGAAACTGCTGAATTAGATTCAGAACTAACTACAGCTAAAAGAGAAAGTGTACCACACCTCCAGCATTATTATTTTGTATTTCACAAGATCATTCTTACATATATAGTTTATGGTGTATTTAAAATTTCAGACAAAAAATAATTAAATTACACACAAACTTACCTGGTTCCAAATCCCCTTCTTCTTCCATAAAGAAGGAGGCTTTCATAAGCTGAACTTTGTGAGATGGTGATCCAATTTCTCTTGCCAACTGCATTGTTGGACTCTGTTGAATTTTTTCCAGTTCCTCATCTAACAAAATCATATAAGAGGAAATCTGTAGATAATCCTTAAATAATTCAACAGCAAGTCTTTAGCACTGAGTACACAAAAGATTAGGAACCAATAACTATAAAAGAAAAGCAAGTAAAGTATTTCACGTAAACAGTTAACTTCCTTGGCATGCAGATTGATGAAAAGGTTTTTTTTTGGGGGGGGGGGNCAAGTTATAGCTGAAAGAGTAGTGTGTAGACACAAGAAGCAGTTCACAATTAATGTGTGAGCAAGGACTGTTGGTGACTGTTTGGTAGGCCCACACGTTTTGCCACATCAGCTAACAGGCAACCACTACTAAGATTTCCTCTTATACGATCTGCCAGATCTACTGGAAAGTGTACCACTGGCAGTCAAAGCATGAATATGGTACATGCATGATGGGGCTCCAGGACATTTTAGCTCTGCTATGCAATATGTTCTTAATAACACCTCATGACCAATGGACAGGTAGGGGAGGACACACTGTATGGCCTCCAAGCTAGACAAATTCCAATCTTCTGGATTTTTACCTGTTGGGATATCTAGAAACCCTTGTGTATGCAGCTCCTGGTGACAATGAAGAGACACTTCACCATTGCATTGTGGATACCTGTCAAAGACTATCTACAGCTACCCTAGAATCATTGAATGGATGTGACAGTTCCTGATGAGACGTGTTGAGGCGTGCACTGAATCTCAAGGACATTCAGAGCACTTAATAAAAATATATTCTTTCAGCTATAACTCATAAATTAAATGTTTCTGCATACATGTTGATATGTACAAGTCTTGTTTTGGTATGAGGAACTTGTGCCCGAAGTTTGTCTGCACCTTACAGGTACACCTTGCATAATATGCTTAACTGCTTAACTGTATTATTTTTACAGCTTATTCTTATCACATACTGAATAGATTATTATACATTTTTGGTGAAACTGCAATGAATGATAAACAGAAGAAATCCCACTAATGAATGTCTCTAATGCTGAAGTTTGGCTGTCCTATGTGATTACCACAGGCTGTATAACCATGCCTACAAATGTCTTATCCTCTAAACAAACAAACTCCGTGATTTTAGTACACACGTGAACTATACCGACCGAGCAACCACCATTTGTCGGCGAAGTTTAGTGCCAACTTTTGCAAACAGAGGGTGTGGCATGGTCAGCGCAACGAATCCCCATGGCCGTTAATTTCGGCTTTCTAGACTGGAGCCACTATTTCCTTGAAATAGCTACTCAATTATCATCAAGAGGCTGAATGGACCCTGTTCCAGACCCGGGAATCGAACCCAGACCTCTGGATCTGTAGCCAGGAACGCTGACCTCTAGACTACAGAGGCACGTATATCCTCTAAAATTACAAAATTCACTGTTGCTGAATAGGTCATACACAAAAACCTATGAATTGACACGATTAACAAGCTTATATTTAAAATCAGGAATACTGGACTCAAAATCACACTAAAATAGTTCTATTAAATTATCACCAAAAATTTACTTTCACCATCACCATATATTCCCATTTGCTTTCGGATACCCTCTTCCATATCCTGATCCTCCTCCAAGAACACAGGTACTAGGCCACGAGGGTGGGGATCTATGTCATTAGACAGTAATCCATCTGACAAACCATGTGATATCTGAAGTACAAAAAAAAAAATACAATTACAACTGACATGTGACAATCTAGAACAACAAATAGCACCACTACATGCATACAGTTTGCTTTAGGATTATGAAACTAATGGCTCTGTACAAAGTTCCACTGATTTAGTATATGAATTTTTTTCTTATCAAATTAAATGCCTGGAGGACTGAAATTAAATCCTGGGTAACTACAATAATTAAAAATCGCTGTGATATTAGTCATACACCACTGCCACTTCAAAACTCATTTCCATGAATATAGATTTCATGCAGCAGAATACCAAGCAGTTTATCATAAGGTTTTATTTCTAGAATATATCCATAAAGTACTCAGTTTGAATCCAAGCCAATGAACCAACCATTATAACATGGTCTTCCTCAGTCCCTCCTTGCGAATGCACAAAGCCCTGAAAAGGGCAAAACTTACTTCTTAAAATCCTATGGAATTCATTAATTCAATGCTAAATAACAACAGTAGCTAATCAGTACCATTAAACAAACACATCATTGTCAGATGATGTTCAGGTCTGACCCAAGATTCTTTTTAGTAGTATAACCCTTGGGACTATCCATAAATCTAATCCCCGAGTATGTTACTTGGTATATATACAGACAGCCTCTTACCGCACAAAATATATATAAAAAAACAGCAAAAAAAAAACTATACTATGAACCACTGGACAATTCAATCCCATCTTCGAAACATAAGAGGAGGAAACGGCAAAGGGCAAAAATGTTTCTTTTCGCCATGCAAACAAGATGTCTGACTTTTAATATCCTATACAAGATGCTCAAATGTCAGAGGATTATAGTTCTAAACTTAAGTCAGAGAGTGTAGAATGCATAGAGAAGATAAAGAATGCATAAAGTTTCATTCAGGAAAGTAAAGAGGAAAAAGATCACTTGGAAGATCTATGTGTAGGATCAAAAGAATTTCCTGACCAGCTGAGTGACTATCAGATTCTTATGAAGTCTGCTCCATGCAGATAGTTTCTATAGGACTGACCTCTTTGGCTAGCAACTGCTGACCAGATTTACGTTGCTGCTGTTCTTTCTTGCGGTTTTCTTGTTGTTGAAACAGAGGCATGGTAGGCTTGAACTTCTTGACATCAGAAACTGGCACATCTTCTTCATCTGAATCACTTAAACCATACTTGGAAAAATGGTCAACCTTGCAAAAAACAAAAGTTCAATGTAAAAAATTAATAAAGCAGGATAAGTATTAAATGTGGAAAATAATTTTGGTAATATTAACAAATTCCAGTTTCCTTCCTGAAAGCATGAAATACCAAACGTTTATACTAACATTGACCAAATATTTATTTCAAAATTTCATTACTGACTCAAATCTACAACCTTTCTACCGAAAGACTTACTACCAGACATCTGAATCAATTATCATTCAAGGCCACATTTTTAGACTGTATTCAATATTCAAACCTACAAGAAACTGACCAACAGGCACCTGGTACTAGATACTATCTTCTATCAGCCTCTTAACAATTCAGTATGACAAGAATGTAATGTAATGTTCAGAGAGCTGGGGTCTCGCAGGAGAAAGGACCGTGTAACCTGAAGTATACAGACTTCTGGATCACATGGGGCCCTATTTTGGAATATGTTCAACCTTTCTCAGCTACTGAACAAAAAAAAAGAGAGAGACAGAATTACCAGAACACCTTCAAGGAACCACAAAAACACTGATGAATATGTGTATATATGCGCACGAAAGCGCACTCGCTCGCTCGCTCTCTCTCTCTCTCTCTCTCTCTCTCTCCATACTGTAGGTAAGCTTTCTTTATGAGTTGTAAGGGCATGTGACGAATGAAGCAAATGTACTATTTTAAATACATAAAAACAAATAAAGGACCCACTTTGAACACCCAGGAACCGGTTTGTGGCCGATACTCCAAAAATCGTGTCTGCAGCTTGGCACAAACTCGACGTAACTTTCCCTCATAGTCCAGTTGCCTCAGTCGCTCTGGATCTCTGATAGGATTGCGAGTAGTCTTATCCATTGGCCAAACTCTATCCAAAGTCACTTGTGCTCGACGGTTTAATCCACAGCCCACTGGCGGTTTCTTTTCATCATTAGGATACAACATAACTTCCTTGTGTCGGAAATGTACTGTAATACAGATAAATGAGGATACTGCTAAATGTAATAATATCATGGATTTAAATCTTTAAATATTTGAATATAAGTTCTCACTAAAAACTGGACATTAGAGAAAAAGAAAGATTATAAGAGAGGGTGAAAATTCCTGTCCAAATTTATGGGGGCCATGGATATACACTTTCTTAGTTTCTATTCAAATTGTAATTAACTTCCAAAGAATCTTTCTGGCACAGATTTTGCTTGATCTTCTGACCTCCTAAAAATTATCACACCAACATACATTTTTAACCCATGTTTCAAATGAATTATCTATAATCCAAATTTACATTCAGGCAATCTGAAGAGACCACTTGGAAAACCTAGCCATAATAAGGAAGATAATAAATATTAAAATTGATCTTCAAGAAGCAGAATGTACTGGTGGGTCTGAATTTATGAAGTTCAGGATAGGAATCAGTGGCACTTTCTTGTGAACAATGCAATAGCCTTCAGGTTTCATGAAAAGTGGTTAACTTTGTGTTAGATGTCATCTATAAACAGAAACTTGCAAAACTTCACTCTGTAGATTAAATTAAAATTGGCATTATCTGCAGTTGATGAGAATGAATGAATGAGCTTATGAAGAGTCTTGTTGTTTCCACATGGTGACACACAAACAAATCAGGTGCATCACAAACTTTTGTTAAATACAACTGAACCATGGAAGGATTGTTTTGTATATTCATAATGGGTTCCAACAGACCTAATACTGGATAGGATGGTGATGGTATTAGGTATAAATAATGTAAAACTTCAAGGAATACAACTGTTAAAACAAAAAACATTTAAGATACATATTCAGTATCAGCACTACAACTGTTAACTTAAATCAGCATTTACAAGTGGATTAAGTGAACAATGGGCAACTATACTGTCAACATTCAAGTACTCATAGATTAATGACATGAGAATATTCCCAAACCAAGTGTTCTCGTTCACTTGTCTTTCTCTTTGTTGGGTGCAAACACATACATAGGAAATTCAGAATCATTTCTATCAGATACCTGTCATTTTGACAGACCTCTAGAGCTGAGTTATTAAATATCATCTACTGGTAACAAAAACCAGACCTAAATGAACTGTGTTTGTGACCCCAAGTCTGTGTGCCTGTGTAACTTTATTTTTGTTAACATATAACACTTAATTCCATGAAAATATAGTGGTTCTGAGCTGATATGTGTCTTGCAGTGCTCCAAATTTGCCAAATATCTGTTTTCCCATGCATTTTTAAAAGGGCTTGCCTTTTATGTACTTTCCTTTAATTGTAAATGTTACATCAATTCCAAGTTTCAAAGAAATCAAAAGTAACAAGACCTTGTCTCATGGTCAGATAAATGTGGTATATTAACACATTTGCTATACTTTACCTATTTCATCTAGGTTCAGGTTAGCCACATCAAATGAGTCAGGGAAGAAGACATTGCCATATCCCTCACGGCCAACTGTGAAATTATCCACCGTGCAGCTGCCATCAACACTGACACGAAAAATGAGTTCACTTAGAGGTGGAATTGTGTAGTAGCCAACACGACGCAATACAATTCCAGCTGGATGGGAGTCGTCACCTTCCATAACTGCAGCAGGTTCATCTGCCTCCAAGCTGTCATCTGGAACATGGTCAGCAAAACATTTTAAACATTTTTCACCTTTCTTCATATCTGTAAATGTGAGAATTGAATTATCCTCAAATATCAAAAACCACCTGAAATACTGTACTGAAGTGTTGCCTTGTTCTGTACTACTAGCATGTCAGTTTGAGCAATCATAATTGTATACAAGTAATACAGTTGTGTTCGATGGAACCCCATACACTAGTAGCAAAGTACATTCAGAATAAATTTACTCAGCCTGTAGGCCAGTGGTTTACCTGTGCATAAGGCTGATATATACAGTCTCTGGCTTCATTAACAATATAATTAGTAACACAACATTATGGCTTCCAATTTGTCTGTTTAACTGCATGAAATCCAATAAGGAAATGCACATACCAAAAATGTCTAAGAACCCCAATAATTAGCAAATGCAATGATTTTTAATCAGAAGTTATTTATAGATTTATGAAATTATGACTGCAGTCATTAAATACATTAGAAAAATATAGACTGAAACCTACCTGAAGATGTTGAGCTATTGTTGCTAACATTTTCTTTATCATCCATATTTAGGGGCAAATTACTTTTTTGTGTTTTTAATTCTGCAATAGTGTTATCAGTAACAGATTCAGTGTTTCTCCGTCCAGGACTGAAAGAAAGTGCATACCCCATATTTAATGCTGGCTCATCATGTGTGCTGATAATAAAGTTAGATGAAAACTAAAAACGTATATAAGAATGCAAAAAACTGATGGCATGTAACAAGGAATGCTATGAATGTTATGTGACCATTTGCACTTTTAAAAAAATACAGCCAGGAAATTGTAGACCATCATCTGCTAGTAACATAAAAAGAGAGTATGGTCCGAACCAATGACTACATCTGTGTTGGAATCTCTATCCCAGTAGTTCACTTTGCACAGATGCAGTGAGTTACATATCAAGAAAGTCACATGCAAAAAGAAGGCTCTGCCTGAACCAAAGGGATACAAAATAATCATATTGTGGTGTACTGTCTCTATGCAGGAACTGTTGAGTCACAGAGGCCTCGGGGCATGTGCGCAATGGAAGAGTTGTGGATTGTATCGGTGCGTTGCTAGGCGACAACTCTGTGAATGCTTGGATAGTGCAACAGGAAGTGTGAGTGACGTCACATATCCCCATTCATCCTGTTACTACGCAACACTTGGTAAACACTCCTCCCCGCTAGGCTGTGACGTCGTGCAACAGTAGGGCGTCTATTGCTAGGCAATGCATGGGTAGACAAACCTGACAACAATACCTCATATCTCTTGCCAAGCACCAATGTTTTCTCTATGTGGTCCATGCCGAGCCTATACAAGGAGCAGCGAACATTATTCATGCAGTATTCAGTACTGAGTTAAGAGGAGTATGAGTTACGAGCAGTTATGAGCAGTATGAGTTAATAGTAGTTGAGAGTGGCGGAAGCAAGCGCAGTGGAACCCAGAATGCCAAGTGTGATTTAAAAGACTAGCGTGTGCGACAGTGCAGTGGATTATAAGGTGCATGTAAGTCAGCGATAGACCTGTATTAAAGTGTAATCACGAGAGTGCGTGTAACCAAGGTGTTAATAAATCCAATCACCCGAACTAGAACCCGTCATTTTGTCACGCATACCCTCCTACATGGGACAATATCTTTGCTGGAATCAGTATATTATTTGTTTCTGAATTCTCAAATATGTCATTGGTTTAACTGGGAATGTCACTAGTCTGTTTCACAGAGGTGAAGTACATTACACAATGCAGGCCACACTATCTTCTGGTATATAACATCATGCAGTCTGCTGAAAATCAACTGACGTTTCTGAAGGACATATCACCTCCACCTTCAGAGTCGAAGAAAAAGCCGAGCAAGAAACCAGCATCAAAGCATGTACCAAGCAGAGTCTACAAGATAAGGTTGCTCCTATGCTTAAGCATCACTCAATGAAGATGTACGGTGTAGCGGAGATATAACTCCACATATACTTAAGCTAGTCAGCTGATGTAACAGAATTAGTTTTAACTTGCCTTAATCTTTGTTGTTTTTTTTTTGTCAGAGGAACTTACTGATGAAATTTGTTTTGCTATCTTGTTTTGTGACTGACGGACATAACAAGATGAGACTTGTGTTACCAGTGCCATGTCATGTATAAGGGGACTAACATGTTACAGATCAAATCCATGTATGTTACAGAGTTATTTTCATTATGAGTGTGATAAGCTAACTGAACCTAATTTTATTAGGTTAGAAAATTAGACAGTTATGGATTCAGGAAGTCCAAGTGGCACTACTGTAACACAAGTTTTACTGTTAAGCAGTTGGGTATAATGATTATCTCACAACCATCAAAAACATATATGCATCCCAATAATGACATCACTGCAATCCATAACATAATGCATGTCAAATATTAGTGAGATTTAAACTGCATTGTGCATTGGTCTGTTACTCCAGTTCAATGCAAGTCAACTAGTTTATTCCCTAAGTATGCATATGCAGTGATGGGTAGTGGGACTACTTACAGGACACTGTCACCTTAAAGGACACCTCTTCAAACTGGGACTAAGTGATAGTCCCACTCATGAGAGGTGTCAAAAAGAAAATGAAACAGCCACACATATCCTGTGTAAATGTGAGGCCTTAGCTTATTTAAGATTACGTCACTTGGGTCAATACTTTATGGAACCAAGTGACTATTTTGACAGCCCCATATACAAAATCCTGCACTTTATTCGAAGCGCAGGATTGCTGAGGGGATAATCAAAAGGAGAAGCACAATAGATCACTGTAGGTCACGGTGCAAGGGCCGAGAGGGCCCACCCCTTGTACATACAATCATTCATGCATTTGCAGTGACTTGTGAGCATGCAGCAGAGCGGGTGTAAAGCATGGTACCTAATTAGCACTCGGTTACGGAAGTTAATGAAAATTATCAATTCTTTGGTTCAGACAGTACTAAAAATGATTAGGATGTTAAGTATTCTTCATATCTTCTTATCTCCATGAGAACCACTACAAAGAACAAACACTGTCATACATCAATAAAACCTTAGTGCCGTACTGTATTATGCACTGCGTTCAGAGGGCAGGCTAATTGGACATTGATTTTACCGTCGGCAACTTCCTGAAAAAGCCCTGCTCCACTGCTGACAAAAATGCTGCCACATGGCCAGAACTGCTAGCACACATTCTTTATTTCTTTTATTAATCATTAATGAAATATAGTAATTAATATTGTACTCACCATCATAGAAGATGTTCAAAATACCTGCCCTCTACTGTGAGACATGTCTGAATTCTTTTAAACAGATTTCAAGAAACTTGCTGCAATTCACACTGACGAATGTTGTAAACTGCTTCATGAATATTCTGTTTTAGAGCCTCCACGTCACGTGGATTGTTTGCATATACAACACTTTTGAGTTTTCCCCACAAATAAAAAATCACAGGAGTTTATATCTGGGGATCTAGGGGGCCACAAACCCTTGCTAATAATTCTACTGTCCCCATTTATTTCCCCAAACACACTGCATAATGCTCAGATGGTTTCATTAGCTGCATGTGGAGTTGCCCCGTCTTGCATAAAATAACCAAATCTTTCTTCTGCAGGTGCCAAATTAATGAAAAATGGATTGAGTACTTAATTAATTTACTATTGAGCATCAAGAGTTCCTTCATAAAATATTGGTTCAATGATATGGTTTGCGCTAATCACACACCATACACATATTTTTTGGTCGTAACGCGGAAGTTGAATTACGGCATGCAGATTTTCACTACTCCAATACATGTTGTTTTGTGAGCTAACATATCCAGAGAGATTAAAATTGGCCTCATCTGTGAAAAATGTCAGCTTAGGATCGATAAGTCTGTCATGCACATGACTGATAAACCAATTACAAAACCTCTCTTTTTTTTCAAAATCTGCAGGTTTAATTTCAGGAATAACAGTAATTTTATAAGGATGAGTATGCAACAGTTTAGTTGCTCCCCATGCACTGCCTACAGAAACATCACTTTATTGCGCTAATCACCGCAAACATTTTTGAGAAGAATTTTCTAATCAATGACCTATGTCACCAAGTTTTCTTCATTTAAAACACAATTTCTTTTTAATTGCTTTCTGTCAATCAACATACAGTGGGTGCAAACTTTCTTCACTAATTTCGAAATTGTATCTCCAGATGGACATGTTGTGTCAGGAAATTTACGGTGAAATTTTCTCCTGCATGATTTGTATGAGTTTTCCCCACCCCCCACATAACAATCATAAATGAAAACGTTGTTCTAAGCAGTATCTCACATGAGTCATAGACACAGAACAGAGCACTATAGAAAGAAGCTCCTGTAACACTTGGTGGCATAACACTGAGAGACTCAATGATCAGGTGATTACTGAATGAATGACCTTTCAGTTTGTGAGGGGTTCCCACAGTGTGTGCCGAGATGACATACTGACAAGCCCCCTGGAAGTCTCATAAGCCAGCACAATGAACACTTGGTATGTTGTTGCATGTTAGGCAATGGATTTGTCCTTACATATTTGAACCAATTTAAAATATTATGAATATATTAGAATGCCCTGCCCCCCAAACTCTGAAACTCCTGTAATATTGAGGTTTCACTGCATATTCCACGCTATCCTCTCATCTACACCCGCATTTTCTATTAATTTAATATACTATACATACCTGAGGACTGCATTTCCTATTAAAGGTGATGATGTGTCTTGTGCATCTGATAGTTCTTGTTCTTCAGTTTCTCCTCTAATTCCATGGAGTGATCTATGAAGCTTGCCAGAACTAAGAATAAGTTTGTGAAATACTACTTACTATTCAGTTTGAAAACTGTTATCACACCACCTACTTCAGAAAATGTTGAAAAACAAAATATAATATATGTTTTGCCATCTGTTTTATAACGGGTTCACCCAGTGTGTGCCGAGACATACTGACAAGCCCCCTGGATGTCTGATAAGCCTGAACACTTGGTACATCATTGCATGTTAGGGGATGGATTTGTCCTTATATATTTGAACCTCTTTCAAATACCATAAATATGTTAGAACAAGCTCCCCCCAACAAAAAACTCTTGCAATACCGAGGTTTCACTGTATATTCCATGCTATCATCTCATCTACACCTGCATTTTCTATTAATTCAATATAATATGCATACCTGAGGACTTCATTTCCTCTGAAAAGCAATGGCATGTCTTGTGCATCTGACAGTTCTTTTTCTCCTTCAGTTTCTCCTGTATTTTTACAGAGTGATTTACGATGCCTGTAAAAATAAGAATAAGTTTGTGAAATACTACTTACTATTCAGTCTGAAAACTGTTAGACACCACCTACTTCTCAGAATGTTGAAAAACAAGATATACAATACAATATTTTACTATCTGTTTTATACAGGGCTCACGCAGTATGTGCAGAGATGACGTACTGACAAGCCCCCTGGACGTCTGATAAGCCTGCACAATCAACACTTGGTACATCATTGTATGTTAGGGGATTGATCTGTCCTTACATATTTGAACCACTTTGAAATATTACAAATATGTTAGAATGAGCCCCCTTCCCACCTCCCAAAAAACCTGAAACTCTTGTAATATTGAGGTTTCACTGCATATTCCATGCTACCCTCTCATCTACACCTGCATTTTCTATTAATTTAATATAATATACATACCTGATGACTGCATTTCCTATTAAAGGTGATGAAGTGTCTCGTGCATCTGATAGTTCTTGTTCTTCTTCAGTTTCTCCTGTATTTTTACGGAGTGATTTACGAAGCCTGCCAAAAATGAGAATAAGTTTGTGAAATACTACTTACTATTCAGTTTGAAAACTGTTATCACACCACCTACTTCAGAAAATGTTGAAAAACAAGATTTAAAATACAGTATTTTGTTATTTTATATCAGTGTGAAACATAGTCTTACTTTGAGGGCGGAACACAAATTATAAGCGTTTGAAAACATGGAAAATGAGAGCCACTGTACACAGAATAATTAAATAAAGTAAAATACTCCATACACATACCACGAGTCCACACACTGGTCTGGAAACATTACACTAGTCTGATGAACTTCTTTATTTTCTTTATCAGCTTCTAACACATCTCCATCTCCTGACATGGCACCTGGTAACTGAACAGTGAGCTGTCCAGTAACTGGGGTCACTGCCTTCGGTTTCAGCATCAGTCTCTTGGTGCTGGAGCGAGGTTGGAAAGTATCCAGCAAAGTGGGGTCAGGTTCTTCAAGACCCTCAAACAAGGACTTCTACAAAGGTACCAACAATGAACAGCACAAATTATGAAGTATTACATTTAAGTAATCCAGTTCTGACTCACCAACCAGTTTTACTTCATTACACTTACCCTTTACATATTTCCAGAAGTGTCTCCCTAAATTAGAACATTTAACAAGTATTGGCACAGTTTCATAGCATCTTTTAATACAGTGATGTCAGGCAACATACTATTACGCCCTAAACATGTGACTCTTGAAAGCCCAGTGCAAAAAAAAAAGCACCTTAACACATTGAGGACCGGTTGCATGATATCATGATTTTAGGACACATTAGGTTGTAACACATTATACCTTCTTCTGGCACCACCCAAGTTGCAGGCAATGGCGTAATAAAACTCTGGAATGTTTGCTTACTTGTCAGTAACTTGACCTCACTGTGTTCTTAACCCACTATAAACGAAAATTCTTTGCTGCTCTTCGAGCTGTATGTATCAGCCAGTAGTTAGTGGTGGGGTATGGACAAGGACAAATTCTTCTCCGATGAGCTAGCGGACCTGACTTGTGAGACGCGTAGTCATGGTGATTCACAGAGTGGCAGTGACAGTGGAGAACAAAGAATTGTGGCCACAGACAGTAAAACTGACAGTAGCTCCATAACATTTCGGGGACAGTAAAAAATCTAAACCCTGATTCGAAATTGAAATACAAAGCATTTCTGATGAATGTGGCAAAGGCCTGGGCTACAGACCAGATGGTGGCAGCAGAACAAGAGTCAGACACAGACTCAGTGCGACCGGGCCCATCAACTCCCAACCCACACAGGCCTCATGCGGACCCCCCAGGGCAACTCTCGGGTGATATGCGGAAACATACCCTCATGAAAATTGTGATGAGTGAACATTCCAGGGGGAAGCATCCTCCTAGGCAATGCTGTGTTTGCACAGTTCACAAAAAAAGGAGTATGTCTAGATTTGCAAGTTCTGTGTAATGCCACTTCACAAAGGGGAATGTTTCCATAAATATCACACCCTCAAGCACTTCTAGGAGCATTGGTAAGTGTTCTCCAAAAATTTTAGTTCATAAAATTAATTAGGAGATTTTATGTTAATTTTTAAAGTGAACAGTGCACAAGTTAGGATAGTAGGTTTAATAATGGCGGCCCCAGGGTGATTTAAATATTTAAGTCACCGGTCCTTAATGTGTTTATCCTTATTAAGGTTCTACAATTTTTATAACAGATTCTGAGCAATGGATACCCTTTGTTTAGTGACTGAACTTCCACAAGTGCCACAAAGTCTCGGTAGCTAAAATATTTCAAACACAGATGGCATGTATGGGCAGTAATAACAAAATTAAAGTAAAGTCACATCAAAATGTAGGACTGTAGACTGAAGACAGGGCCTATGTTTAAGTAAATGGGGACTAACTCGGAGAAAGCAAATAACTGCAATAATATTATAAGTTAGAAGACAGGAGGGATGAGAGCAACAGAATGTTTTAGTTAGTGACAAAAGATTATCCGTATTCACACAACATGATTACCTCTGGATGATGGAAGAGGATTGTTCTATTTCAATAACAATGATGCCAGAGCAGGGAGAGTGAAAATAAAAAAGTAATAAACATTTCTAACACATTTTTCCATTTACTGATCTATATATGTATAATTCATGTACATGATTTAGTTAATGAATCTTTTGTGTGTACAAGCAGCTGACTGTGCATGCCAGCAATAACTAAATATAATACAAAAGAGGAACAAAATAACAAAAACAAAGTCTGACAGCAATGGAAGGGTGGAAAAATTTTCTTACTGGCTAATGAATGTTAGGTGAACAGTGTGAGAAATCTTCAAATTAACAAAAGTGATGTTTTACATAAAACATTTTGATTTATAATTAGTGAAATTATTCTTCCTGGACATTATTCATTGTCCTGTTTTAATTAAAACCAGAAAACCTTGAGACTGAATTCTGTCTCTGTCTTCAGGTGGAACCTAATCATTTGGGCCCATTCAACAGAGCTAGTCTTTATCTATGACACCAGCACCAACACAACATAGTATATACGTAGTACAGTCAATTATTTCGTGGACTGGCTCCACAGTGGCGCTGCTATACACTACAGCGGATACATGGAACCATGTCCATTCTTCGTTCAAACAAGAAGCAGGAACATGTGTGTGGTGTATTCAGAAAGAAAGTCACTGTTGTGAAGGGTACTTCTCTGCAAACGGCAGAAATCGAGAATGTCGCAGTTTGAGCAATGAAGAAACATCAAGTTCTGACAAAAATTAGGCAAATTTGCTACTGAAATTTTTCAGATGATCAAGCAAGTGTACGGCATAGAAGCCCTGGGCCATGGTGCCGTTTTAAGTTAGATAGTTTGGAAGATGATGAGCATGCTGGTTGGTCAAGAACGGTCAGAAATGAATTCAAGATCCAAGAAGTTGCAATGCTGGCGCATGCCAACCACTTCCAAATGATTGATGAAATCGCAGCAGCAGCAGCATGGATTAGCCATCGTACTTGCCACAAAATTCTGTCTGATGACCGGAACATGTCTCGTGTTACCCAGCAGTGTTCCACATGTCCTGGTGCACGACAAACATAACATTCACATGAGCATTTGCCCCTCCCTTCTTTATTTCAACACTCTCAAATAGAAAGGGAGGATGCTGCATGCATTCCTGGCTCTTGTGTTGTGCTCGAATGCTCCCCAGATGGATTGGGGTGTCCAACCTAGAGTATTAGAGAGAGCCAGAGCCCTAACACTACATATTTAATAAACAATATAAATAGCAATAGCAATAATAATAAAAAAACACACTAACATTCACAGATCCAACATTCAATTAAATAGCAATAACCATACTACTAAAACTAAACACCTTTTTTTTATTGATAGTGGGGTAGGACTAAGTCCCTTGTACTGCGGCCACTTCTGGCCTATTGTACCAACACCAGATGATAGGTGAGGGTGACTGTGAAGCAATTGGTGGAATGAAGATTGGCAGGGGAAACCGAAGTACTCGGAGAAAACCTGCCCCAGCGCCACTTTGTCCACCACAAATCCCACTTGACCAGACCCGGGATCGAACCCGGGCCGCCGCGGTGGGAAGTCAGCGACTAACCGCTTGAGCTATGGTGCGGCCAGACTAAACCCTTGCACTGACATTATCAATATTCAATGGCCTATAAGAAATCTCCAATGAAATTACACTCTTTCAAATAAAACAATAATAACCTCCCAGAACTACTCTCATACACCAAAATCAGTCACTTCCTCTGCTGGCCAAGATAAGATACTAAAACAGAATTTCTGCCGACTGCTGGCCCACCACCCACTCTAGTCCTCGATCTCCATACAACTCCTCCAAAAACAAAACTCCATGTACATGCTAGAACAGCTGGAGGGGGGGGGGTCATGTGGTATAACTGGAATAGTGGAATGGGTAACTCAGAGGCAGGGAATAGGATAAGAGGATGCCCAATTATCCAGCCGAGCCATAGGTAAACATGGCTCAGATAGTGCTGACAAAGATGGGACATTTCTCAATTGGATTATAACGGGAGATGAAACATGGCATTTTCTGTACAGTCTGCAACTGAAGCAACAATCGGCCACCTGGAAATGGCCATCATTGCCAAGAAAAGAAGCCACAACAGAACAGGTCAAAGGGCAAAGTAATGCTTGAATTATTTTTCAACTTGAACTGTACACATGGAATTCATCCCTGAAGAAGTGGCTGTAAGCAAGCACCACTACAAGGAAACCCTTCACCATCTATGAAATTCAATTCGTCGTGAGCATTTTGAGCTTTGGTGCAGGAAGAACTGGCTGTTGCTGCATGAAAATGCCCCTGCACATCACTGTGTGCATGTCCAAGAGCAGGTAAAACAACACATCAGCGTTCTGCCACACCCTCCATACTCACTTGGTCTTGCACCATACAATTTCTTTTCATTTCCCCACTTGAAAGAAAAGCTAGGTGGGCGTTGATTTCAGTTGGCTGAGGAGATCATCACTGCTGCAAGAGAAGCCGTACGGGACGTTCCTGCAACTATCTTACAGCAGTGTTTCCAGCAGCTATACTAACATTGGAGGACTTGCATAGTGGCCAACGGCGACTATTTTGAGGTAGGATGTGGATATGTGAAGTGTATGTGAATAACTTGTAATATGTTGTGTCAAACCCACAATACACAAAATTACTGAGTGTAGTAGTATAAACCAAGCACAGCATAAACCATCTGTGAGAGTTAAGACAAACATTTAAAAATTCATAAAAAAAACTCCGCACACAAGGCCTAGCACCTATGTCTATGCATTATTTCAGGGCAATTGTTGTTAAAATCAGAGTACTAGCAGAACAGAAGTCATCACCAAAGAGACAAATTCTCTGTATGGTACAAACATAAAAACACAATATTCACACATAATCTACACCGTACTTCTGAGTTCTGCTGCAATTCTTTTCTCCACAGATACAGATTATGTAATATTCTTAACAGGCAGCACAACTATTTTAAAGAGCTATTAAATGGTTATGTTGGTTACGTTTATTAATTATATTAGTTTGTAAAATTTACTTAAGTATTACTTACTTTAGAAAGTGAAGATACTCCCAATGGCTTCACTTTAATTTTAACATTTTCTCTTGGTGATACTTTAAAATGGTTATTAGAGACAGCTGCTTTCTGGGCTGCTGGATTTGTTGGTTTAAGTAGCTCATCCGTTTTACCCGTAGCCTACAGAAAATAACATCTTACTGTTAACTACTTCTACATACATCAAGTTATTTCCCTCTAAATCAACAAGCACTTTAGAATCATAACACTTAATATACAACTCACAGGCAGGAGATTCCGAAACAATGGAGAGTCACCAAAGGGCATTGACGCCAAGGCCAGAATCTGCTGGTGAACAGTTCCACTGCCTTGCTGATTTGTCACTGGGTTAGTTCCAGCTCTGTAAATAAGGATATAACACCACGGTTTCACATAGTACCTTTTTGTTACGCATCCAAAGACAGTTCCTGATCCTATAAATACAGGCACTTTATACACAACTAATGTTATCAAATTCCCAATTCTACACTAGGTAAATATATCACACTGCCAAACCTCAAGTGTACTGAAATCTGTTCTCCATCTAGAAGACTAAACATTATTCAAGCAAGTAGCATGCTTAGATCACTGACTGCACAACAGTTTAGTACATACAGTTATACTGGGAAACATTCCCATTTGGTTCTTTTTTATTTCACTTTTTTAGTCTCTTTCTTCCCTTCCCCAGTTCACTTAACAAAATTCATATAACTCCTACAAGTAAACGGTTACATAACAGAAATATCAGGTAAAAAAAGTATTTCTTTCTCAATCCACCATCTCATAATAGTTTCTTTACCATAAGATCATAATTAAGATGATAATATGTCCAATAATGTGTAATAATCAACCTCAAATGCTGATAATGTGATACAGATTAACCTTTAAGAGCCGAGCGACTCCATATGGCGTCATGAAAATAAAGTCAAGGGGACGAATGACGCCATATGTCGTCGCGCAGTCCACGCATGCGGCCGGCTTTTTAAAATCTAATATTAAGTTATAAATTCTTTTTCTACTTACATGATTTTTGGTCACCAGCTTTATAAGTTGTCTCTCTTCCCACCTGCGTCGTCTAACGGACTGTTGGCTTCGTGTGGAAATCTTGGAAACATCCGGAAATCCAGTGTCCGACGTCGCACTTCACGCACTTTGTCCGGACGGTTCTTCGTTTTCCACGCGAAAAGCACACACGACACCTCAATTGCGAAGTAGAGGAAGTCGACCAGTGATGTGGTTTGGCCTCCTATAATCGAGATATCTCCGATAAACCGGCAGGGGTTCGACCCCTGGGCCGTTGATGGCGAGGTGGACCCCTTCCAGCATCTTCCGCACAAGAGCGAGATGAAATTATCTTTGTGACAACAGGATGTAACTGTTCAGATCCAGGAGATGGAAAAATAGTTTATTTGTCCATTTCCAGGTTCGACGACAGATGCTATAACTGTTTGCCACAGTTTGCCCACAGCTCCACCTGAATAATTATTCACACTCCTCTTGCCACGCTGGTGTGGTGGTCCCCAGGTTGCCGACGAAGATGATGGTTCTTCATCGACTTCAATTTCTGATTCACTTTCTTCCTCGCAACTCTCAGAGTCATCGGTACAACAGTCTGAATCGGTGTCATTTGTAAGCTGATTCTCAATTTCAGCTTCTTCCAAATACGAGGTCATGGTGGACAGCTGAACACAATGCTAGCCTTGAACGTTCTGACACTGCTCGGCTATATTTCAAAACAGACTGCTACTTGTTTGTCTATACGAGATAATACAGTCAGTGTTTCTGCGAACGATTAGACATCGCCCACACTCGTGCACATACCGAAAGGAAGCTACGAGCTGGAGAATGAGGAACGCAAGCATAAACTTCCGCCCCTGTTGCCACGTAAGCCATAGCTATAAAATGATGTCAGCAGCAGGCATTCAGACTGCAGAAACGTTTTGTGCAGGAACTGTATGCATTTTTGTGCACAGACGTTCGAAATGGAGGGAAAAATTTTTTTTGGCATCAGTGTAAAAATGTTAAAGAGATTTTAAAATCGGTAAATTACAATAACTGATTCTATATTCTTTCTAGATAAAAACAGCGTTTATTTCGTTCGTTTATCACAAAAATTGTAGAAATCACAGCATTTTGAGTAACATGATTACAATTTTTATTACTCTACAGTGGCGGGCATTTAAATTAACTCCGTCCTGCTACCATTACCAGAATTTAAATGGCTGTCTCTTAAAGGTTAATACTCTTTCACATGGCTCTGTTCTGCTATGAATCCATACAAACCCTCCAAGCAATGGATTTCCTCCAAGACCGACAGAAGTTCCAAGACCTGTTCCTGTTGGAAATGTGGAACCAATACCAAATCCTCCAGTATTGAACACTCCAGTACTGCCTCCAAACATATTTGGTTTATTAGCTGTGTTTCCAAACATAGGTTGGCCTCCAATGTTTAGACCTCCACCTGTTTAGGACATACACACAAAATACAGATAATACAGTGTACACTAGTAAATTTATCAAGAAAATGTTAGAATAATTCAGATTAAACAAATTCATTACTTCTTTCAGAATGTCTACTTACCAAGACCTGTTCCTGTACCTGTTGACTGTCCAAAGCTAAAACCTGTTGTGGCTGGTTTGAAAGGCTGACTAAAAAGTGACTGATTCTGATTTGCCCCAAACATATTGTTAGTACCAAAACTGGAGGTTGTGGGATTCCCAAACGTATTTGTGAAGCCACCTGTTCCAGAGGACTTTGCTCCAAACATGCTTCCAGCATTTGTTGACGTATTCTGACCAAATGAGAATCCAGTACTAGTTGTTGCCATATTGAATGCTGGCTTGTTTTGGTTAAAGAGTCCAATACCCTAAATGTAAAAAGGAAATGTTCAAATACATTATCCATTCTTCTTCTCCAATAACAGTATATCCTAACAATTTAATGGGCTAATTAGGAAGTGGGGGTGTCCAATATTGCTGAATGTCCATCAAATCCAATGTCTTATAAAAGAGTGTCTGTATGAAACCAAAAGTCCATGAAATAACACGTCATGTAACATAAGGTTTCAAACATAATACACACATTTTTCTTGTTGAAAATTTTAGGCAGGTCTTAAATTCCAGGAATTCTGTCCATGGGGTAACAGAAAGAAACTAATGTAAACACATTCAGAGTGAGTCATCAAGCCATATCATCCCCCTTCACCATTTTTAACTATGAGTCAATCCAACTTTCAATTCAATCACTGCCTGACATTCTTATTGCTCAGGTGCATTCAGTTTTCCACCAGCTTTTACCCACAGAAAAGTGTTTTACACACAATGCTACATTCAAAAGAAAAGTGATTCTGTGCACTGAAAAGATAGGTAATCGCGCAACTGGTAGAAAGTATACAGTAAGTGAGGCATGTGTACATCATGGGCACAGTATACAAACAAGACTGTTTTCATGGCTGACAAACAGAAAGTCCTTTCCTGAACCAAAGGAAGGAAAAATCTTGTGATTGACATCTTTGTTTTTGAGTATTTTAAAGGTTTGTGAAATAAAGAATTACCTGTAACTAGGCAAGCTTTATTGTCAAAAGCAAAAGAATGTGCTAGAAACAGTAATATACCTTACAAGGCCAGTCATGGATGGTGTGAAAAAAAGATTATGGAGAGAGAAAGCTTATCATTACAACATAAGACAAATATCAGTTAAAAATTTCCTTCGAAATTTGAAAATATACTGTCTGGATTTTAAAGTTTTGTTGTCGGACTATGAAAAGTCACGTGTTACTGTTATGCTGTGTACAACTGCAAATGGCAATAAATTACCACGATATGTAATATTAAACAGAATGATAGTGCCAAAAAATATTTCTGCAAAGATGTAACAGTTTGGGGAGAAAAAATTGCATTAATGACACTGGAGTTAATGGAAGGCGGGCTTGTCGGCCTGGTGCATTATTAAAGCCATGAAGTATGCTTGCAATAGATGCATTTCATGGCCAATAGAATCAGAAATAGGTTACGGACCATAAGTAGATCTAATGATAATTCCTAGTGGCATGACAAGTAAATTACAACCACTTGATGTGTCAATTAACACACCATTCAAACATCTTGTCCATAAACACTATGATACCTGGCTGAATAAAGACAATCATATATTTACACCTAGTGGCAAAATGAAAAGAGCATCAGTGTCAGTAACAGTGAAGTGGATATCAAAGGCGTGGAAAAAAAGCACCTGTCAATATTATTCCAAAATAATTTTTGAAGTGCTGTTTGTCTAATGTGGAAGATGGAAAGCAAGATAACATTCTTTGGGACGACGACGAACAAAGTGGCCTGGGTGCATCATCTTCAGAAAATGAAAAGTGCGACTGAACAATCACTGGACAAACTTTCTGATGAAATAAAAAAAAGATAAAAAGGAATGTGGAAATAGTAAAAATTTTAAATTTCCATTTCATTCTGGTATATTTTTCATTACTTTTCACTTTGAATGTGCTCAAAATGTTTTGTTATTTTAATTGATCTGTTCTGAATAAACTCACTGAAATAAATACACCTTTCACCTTTTTCCCTGAAACCCTCATTTCAAAACTGGATGTGTCTTAAATTTTAATACAGTATTCTGAAGCAAAATGAAACCCATATTATGTGAAAAACAATACATTTTGCTCTTACATATCATGTACTAGAAAACAATAATAAATTACTCTGTATCTGTATACGCCCTACTGTTAATAGGCAATGTCTCAGTTGCTATGCAACAAGCCAATAAAAAACATTCCTGTGGAAACAAATACATGCACAGCAATAGAAGAATTGTTGGACATGTTATTTCTGTGTGGTTCACGTCATACTGAAAGAGAAAGTGATTTGTTCTTCCTAGGTTTTCTTCCTTCTTCAATAATAGTGGAACCAACTTCTTTAAAATACTATGTGATGGACAAATACATGTCAAAAGCATAGAAAAAATTTCTGACCTATATTTGTGGAATGTGGGAACATCACCTCAAGGCTCTCGCTTTCAGCAAAATTGGCAGCAGCTTTCTAGTACATCTGTCTCTTAAAGACTGGCATGTTTTCTGTGCAAAATGCATTCATGTCTTCTTATGCCTTAAACCATCTTAACAGAATTTGTAAAAGTAAAAAGTAAAGCTATCCCTGTACCAGGCCGTGGAGGCCCACAGGGTTGTGAGACGTTGAGGGTCCCACATTATCTAGACAATCGCCTCAAAGATGGCAGTAAGGTTGTCGGCCTTACACGCCGGCACGCTTTACTCCCCAGGAAAATGATTTAATTAATTCCTGGTACTCATTTCTGTTAGAGGGCGAGTAAACCCCAGGGCCTAGTTAGGCTGGAAGGATTAGTTTAACTGAAAAAAATCCAGTGACCTCATTGGGACCTGAACCCTCAGCCTTCCAGCCTGTAGCATAGCCCCTCAACCAACTACACTACTGTGTGCCCCAACAGAATTTGTACTTTCACAAAATTTCATACCTGATTTTGAGTTCCAAAGCCAGAAAAACCAGTACCCTGAGTGCCAAATGCGGAAGGCTGAGATTGAGTGCCAAACAAACTGTTTGTTTGTGGGGTAGCAGCTGTAAACATACAGAAAACAAAACATCAGAATAATAAAAAAATTACTACCTAATAAGTACTTGTAAACATTCTAAATAACAAAACTTATCTTCATTCAAAATGGCTCAGGACTAATTCCAGTCAAATAGAATCCAACATACTACAGCCAAATCCCTATTTATCAAATCTTTAGCAAAATGGCTATTCTTACACTAAATTGAAGTTTTCCCTAAATGGTGGTCTTGTCAAATCACATCACAACACTGGAGTCTCATTCCACATCAAATCAATAGAGATATTACCAACATGACCCTCTCAGAACTGGGGGGGGGGGGGCAAGCGGTAGCATGGTAGGTTGAGGCACTACACTACAAGCTGGAAGGTTGGAGGTTCAATTCCAAATGAGGTTATTGCATTTGTCAACTGACCTAATTCTTCCAGCTGCACTATGCTCCTGAGGTCAACTGGGCCTCTAACAGAAATCAGTACCAGGAATCTCCTGGGGGTAAAGGGCGGCTGGGGCATTTTATGGGCACTAGATTTTGAGCTGTCAAAGAACCTGTTTCTGGGCATAAGTTGTCTTAAGAAAAATGTGGAATAACTACTGTCCTAATTAAGACACCAAGGTCATTTCATGTTCATTTCAGAGCTAATAAAATGCCCTTTTACACACGTCTGTTACACCCAACTATTCTACACAACTACCTTTGCCACATCTTCCCATCTGACCTTATATTTCTCTAATGCAGCACTCTGTTTTCAAAAAAGTATACTGTATACATGTTAACTATTATTTAAAACATCTACAAATATAAAGTTGGGACTGCAATAGGGTTGAGCACTGTGCGAAGGATTTTACTATTGAGAGTCACTTCAGTTGTATTGATGAGACAATTTAGTTTTTTTTTTTTTCCATTGCTAGTGGGGTGGGACTAAGTCCTTGTACTGTGGCCACTTCTGGCCTATTGTACCAGCCCCAGATGATAGGTGAGAGTGATTGTGGAGCAACTGGTGGAATAAAGATTGGCAGGGGAAACCGAAGTACTCAGATAAAACCTGCCCCAGTGCCACTTTGTACACCACAAATCCCACTTGACCAGACCTGGGATCGCACCCAGGCCGTCGCGGTGGGAAGCCAGCGACTAACCGCTTGAGCTATGGCGCAGCCACGAGGCAATTAAGGCAATGTGTTTAGCTCAAATTCACTACATTTTTTAATTACGTCAATGAAAGAACCCTGATATAAAACTGAGTTGTCTAGTCACCCTAATATTGGCAACAGTTCTTACCAAGAACTAAATGTGAGGTCAGGTCATAACCAGGTGCAATTATACCAATACAGACTTAATGGACAATAACAGACTAGGCTAACCATAATATTCCCCTGGCTCATTATGCTTTACTTCAATACCCTTTTAGCCCTAAACAATTTGGTTTCCTTATTAATGTATTTTAGCTTTCTCATAAATCAATAAATGCACTGTGCTGGTCATCTTAACAAACCATAAAAAGTTCGGAAACAAACTAGAAATGAAGGTTGGCCTAGCACATGTAAAACACTGCACTTAAAAAGGTAAAGAATAACTTCTTGTGTTATTCCTCAAGCATTCACAAAATAGCTGAACTCACGGGGGAAATAAACACCAGACAAATCAACTAAAATCTGCAGAATTATAGTAAAGTTTGAGAGATCCTTAGTTAATAAAGAATGATAAAAAGAATACAGAAGAAAAGATTATTAAACCCGGGAAAAGGTTAATGAGAGAGACCATTTCCATCTTTATCATTTTTCATACTAACTGCCATCCTATCTTCTTTTCACACCTTAGTACTTGGCTGAAGGATTAAAATACAAAGCTTTACATTAAAGTCAGCTTTTGAACAGGCCTTATGTTCAAACTGTAATAACAATGCAATTACACAAACATACCAGGATATTAAACAAAACGTTCTGTGAGGAACTTATCACCTAATGACATAAACCACATAGAAACCAAAGCATCCTACAATTCTTCTACTGTTGTGTGTGTATTCGTTGTAGCGGAAATGTGTTTACCCAGCCGCTGCCAAGCAACAATAGGGGGGAGGGGGGAATACACACATACAGGAAAGTGATCTCAAAATCTTTTATATTTTTCAAAAAAGGGAAAGTACACTAAAATTTCTTTTTGCAGAAATGTGGTTGCAAATCAAGATGTGAATGAAACTGTTATGTTGCTCTATAATTCAATGGATTCAAATAACTGAAAAGGCTTATGAACAGATTTAAATATAAATACTAAGAACAGAATGAACAATGATAGAAACAGTATATCTAATCAAGAACAAAGGAAATTTGCTGAACACAACCTGTGAATCCTTCCATTCATTCAATTTCAGTGAATTTACTTATTGCCAAGCTATATATTTTTGTCAGTGTGACCTCCTGCAATCAATCTTTTCTCATTCTGGACAATGTAATGAAAGCATGCAATGACAACACACATACTGTGAAATTATAAAACAGTTAATACTGAATGACAATCTGTCAACCGATGTAAAACTTCTATGTGAACTACATACTTCCAAAGGGTTTTGTCTGTGCATTCACTCCAAACGGATTGGCTGCTGTTGTTGTGTTGAATGAGAAATTTGAACCACCCCCTGTTGTGGTTGTCATGGTTCCAAATCCTGACTTCCCAAAGAATCCACCACTCTGCTGGTTGGTAGAACCAAACACACCACCAGAATTGGTTCCAAACCCTGCAAAAAGGACACACCAGAACCTTGCAATAAAAGATGTTTAACAGTGATCCTGTATATATAAGAGTAAGTCAATAAGTAAGTTACAAATGGATACAGAACTTGAGTACTGATTTGAAAAACGATTTTATTTCTCAACATAATCTCCTTGTATATTGAGGCACTTGTCCCATCGTTTCAGAAGCTTCTGAAAACCAGCAGCATAAAATTCCTTGGGCTGCTGTCAAAACCAGGAGTGTTAACACGGCATGGCCTACCTCATAATACATGATGGGTTAGGTTTTCACAAAGTCTGTGAACAGTGGGTGCCGCGCATGCTGACCCCACAACAAAAAATACAAAGAATGGGTCTGGCATTACAGCATCTCAATCGCTACCATAATGGACATGATATGCTAGCCCGAACTGTCACAGGTGATGAGTCTTGGGTTCATCATTACCATCCTGAAACAAAGCGTGCGTCAATGCAGTGGAAACATCCTGCATCGCCTTGAGGGTGGAATGCAGTGAGTAGTATGCCTTCGTGATCCCAGAAGACTGTAAGCATCACTTTCCTGGAGGGTGGTGTCACCTTAAACTTTTTCTTTGTCAGGCGATGCAGGATGTTTCCACTGCATTGACGCACGCTTTGTTTCGGGCTGGTACTGGTGAACCCAAGTCTCATCACCTGTGACAATTCGGGCTAGCATATCATGTCCATCATGGTAGTGATTGAGATGCTGTAATGCCAGACTCATTCTTTGTATTTTTTGTTGTGGGATCAGAATGTGCGGTACTCATTGTGCACAGACTTTGTGAAAACCTAACCTGTCATGTATTGTGAGGCAGGCCATGCCATGTAAACACTCATGGTTTTGACAGCAGCCCAAGGAATTTTATGCTGCTGATTTTCAGAGGCTTCTGAAACGATGGGACAAGTGCCTCAGGGTACAGGGAGATTATGTTGAGAAATAAAAGCATTTTTCAAATCAGTACGCTTATTTGTTTAAGTTCTATATCCATTTGTAACTTACTTATTGGCTTACCTACGTATTAACTTCAGATTGGGTCAACTCATAAAACCTGAAATAAAACCATTTTCAAGAAGTAATGACTGTTAAAGAGAATAAAATAATAAATCACAAACACACCCACCTCTGTACAAACCCTGATATTTTTAAGAAAAGAACGTTAAATATCAAAGAAGTGTGTATCCATGTTAGTTCCTCCTTTTTAAACACAATCAAATACAGTGTTACCCACACTGTCCACTAATTTAAGGTTTTCCCTCACATAAAATTCAACTTCAGTGATCCTAAAGCAATCAATCTCAGTATTAAATTCCCTTCATTGAAGATTTTTGTCAATTTAATGTTCAAATCCACTGACCCTCAAAGAAACCTTAAATAGGTTTCATTAAGAGAAATCACACACTGCACTGTGACTGTGGAACACAAGCCCATCGACAGAACTGTAAATGTTGATGATGAAGAACAGCATGAAGTGAGCCTAAATATACAAATGTAAACAAATAAATACCACACCTTGAACATATGCTACATCTTCCACTTTATACACAAGTAAAACAAACTCTAACAGTACCACCTGCCTACAACTACTCATATTTTCATGGTTACTACAAGTTTATTAAAAAAATATCCGTGGCCAAGCAGTATTTGTGAATCATGGTAAAATACAATGCTCTAACCCATGGACATACCTCCACCAAACAGTGATTTACTGCTGTCAGTGAAGATGCCTCCTGTGCCTGTACTAGTACTAGCACCTGTACCAAAGAGGGAACCTCCTGTTGATGTTCCAAATAATCCAGTTTGTTGTGCTTGCTGTGGTCCCTTGCGATTTGCAACATAATCCTCCAAACGCAATTCTTCTAGAGATTTTGATTCATATTCCTTCATGCAGGTAATGCAGTGATGACGAGTGCTAATGGTTTGTGTTACACCATTCTTTACCACTGTATCCGAGCCAGTTACTGGAGTAAACTTAATGGGAGTTCCAACAGCTGCAGCTGTTGTACTGCTTGCTCCAAAACCTGAAAACATACAAAATAAAATTTCTGTATAAAACAAGACACACAAAGTAGTTAGTTAACCTCTCTTCTCCTATGAGGTAACATACTGTAACACGTTGGATGTGTGACGCAACATGAATAAATAGCATGGGTCTTTGGATTGGAATGAATACGTTTATTGAATGTTCACTTTTACACTAGCAAGTACAATTATTATCACATCCGGTATCACAATTCTTCTTACACCATTAATCTCGGCTGCTAGACTTCAACTATCCACTGTCAACTGTCAACTACGCAGGGTCATGGTGGAGGTATTCGATGCCGCCTCCACACGGGTGAACTAACTCTTTGGAGTTGGACTATTATAACCTGGTTTTGGATGGAATAGAAAGCACCTTCACCCAGGCTTCGGTTTCATGTGTTCTATGTTCGTTACCATGGAAACGCAGTATTTCAGCTGTTTCAATAAATCGCTGCCATGGTCATTCCTAGGCAATGGTCTGTTGGTATTCGATCTGTCGCTGTGGGAATTCAACAATTTCCACCGTAGCCGTTGCACAGCGATGGAAGACATATAACATGTTACAATACTACTGAATTGTTGCACTGCAGAAATGGACCAGATGATGGAATCTATCCAATGAAATGGTTGAAACAAAGGCTGCCATTAAGTGCCAGCCTACATGACATGAAGATCAACATAAGTGCCAATCAAGAAAAAAACAGATGCCACAACATGACCTGGCCAAGAAAAAATGGAGGCTGTGATGCTGAAATTCATGAGACATGACTGGATCTAAAAGCAATGGGGTGTCTGTCGATAAGCAGACTCAGCTCCCACAAAAAATATGACACAAGGTTCCAATAAACACTGATCAACATACAAGCAAAAAAGAAGCTGGCAGAAGTAACATGACACTGGCTTAAAACAAAACTGGCAGAAGTCAAAGCTTAAGTGGGGGACGGAAATTACAGCAGTACAGCAACCGAAAGAGATACAATAAAGCTACCAAAGTTCAATGGGTCTATGTCCTGGAACCCATTTCATCACTTCAATGCTGTGGTGAAGCACAACAAGAAAGCCATACAAGTACTGGCCATTAATAGCCTGCATATTATCCCCACAAATGTGAGATATGAAGACAATGCTGAAGCACTAGTGGCCATGGTGTACCATTACCAAAAACAAGGACCAAGCTGACTGGTGAGTCTCTGCAAGTATTATGCCATGGTGACAGGGGGGCATGTAGGTATCCCTCCTTGCCACATCTTACGCTGTAAGAAGTTAACACAATAATCCTAGATTACCCTCAGCTAGGATTCTCCTGGTTCTGGGCTTCCTTCGTTGCATACAGCTGCCACCATCTATTACATCTTAAGAAGGGGTGATGAAAGTACTAAGGGCCAGTAGTGCGGTAGTCAAGTGTTCTCTTTTGGCCGGCCCCTTCATCACTGTCACCTCTTATTATTGGCGTAGAGCGGGCGTGTCCCGTCTGACCCGCCTCTACTTATCGACTGTCACACCATATATTATCCTCTACGACAGGGGTGGATTGGATATCTCACCGCTGTTGCCAATTATGTCTTAGTGACGGGGGTGGGTTAAAACACACTAAATCACTTTGTCTGCCATTTCTCTTTGGCTAGTCCCTTCGCTACATCAGTCAACCCTTCACTGACTCAGCCTACCGCCGTTGCCATAAGTAATGCTTCAATGTAAGGGGTGAGTAAAACACAGTTGCTCTTTCTCTACGTCAGCCACTTTGCGTTGGCCGATCCCCACCTCTGCCATCACTTTGTTATACCTAAAGGAGCTAATAAAATATTACTACTTTAGTCCATCGCCACCCTTTCCGTTAGGATGTTCGCTGTATTCGGCTGTCGTCGACTGCCTGGGGTCAGTTCTAGCTTCGCTTTGGTAGGGTCGCTCTGGATTGGTTGTGGACGGGTTGGTTCAGGGAAGTAAATCAAAACTCCCTGTGTACATCCTACCCTAAGTACACTGATCTATTTACACTGTTATTTACAATAAAAGAATGCCGACGTCTGTCGGTTTACACTTGGTCTCGGGGCGTGATAGTTCTGACTCCGTTCGAGTCTCTCGCCTGCTGCAGCAGGCTTAAGACTGTCACTTTCTTCATTACTATTACTCGACACGCCATCCCTATCCTACCCTACGTCCCTGATCTATTTAGACTTTAATTTGTATTCTATTTACAATATTAACAATACCGACTCTCGGTCGGGACTTACATAGTGCCTTTACCACACCACGCTATGCTTCATCATTATCTCCCCTTCTGGGGTGTATGACTTGAGCCTGTCTGTCTGTCTCTTTCTCTCTACTGTTTTGACTCATTTCACAATTATACACTATTGTATCATAAGACTTCCCCTTAAATTATTTTTCTCCTAAACCCATATATGATGGGGTATCCAAAAGAAACCGAACTAATTCTTTTGTGGGCAGAGCTTTTGTAGTACCGTGTTTTGCCGCTACGAGCGCATAAAGCTAACATTCCTGAGTCGATAAGCCGACTACTGTTGCTTCAGAAGGTAAGGACTAGTTTCGGCAGAGTTTATAGTGACAAGTGTTT